TCTTTGGCCTAGAATGGTCTCAAAAAACCAACTGATTAAACAGTGAGTGAGGAATTACGAAAGGTACCTCTCAGCTCTGCACCCCCATATACAGGGAAGTTTTGCTGAAAGACCCAGCTATGCAGTTGTCAGCAGGAAGTGTGTCGCAAAGTGTGTCACAAGATAAGGGCAGGCCGAGATAGAAATGCACTCCTGTTTTCACTCCTTGTGCCAGGCCACAACCGAAGCTTAGGGTTTCGGGGAATGAAGAAGACGGAGTTGCAGTTTCCTGGAATGTGGTTTCCTGTATTGAACAGCAGGCATGTGTGACTGCGGCTCAGTGCTCAGAATATTCAGCTTCTCAGTTGCACAAGCAGAGAGGGATGGCAAGCCCCTGTGAGCAGGCCTTTCCTCAGCACCAGTGGCAGTGCTCACACCCAGCTGTTCCTGTACAGAGAGGGGGGCTGCTTTCTCTGGCCTGGCACAAGGAGTGAAAACAGGAGTGCATTTCTATCTCAGCCTGCCCTTATCTTGCAACACACTTCCTGCTGACAACTGCATAGCTGGGTCTTTCAGCAAAACTTCCCTGTACATGGGGGTGCAGAGCTGAGAGGTACCTTTCGTAATTCCTCACTCGCTGTTTAATCAGTTGGTTTTTTGAGACTATTCTAGGCCAAAGAGCTAGCAGACTGTAGGTCATTGAAGCCTAAGGATGTTTTCCTGCTGCTAGGTGCCCTTCATTCTTTGTGAATCTCATTCCCACAAAATTCATCTCTTCATGTATAGACAGCAGCAGCAGCAAGTTCCCAGGCTTGATATCAACCAAATACTGCACCATCTGTGGCCTGTCCTCTGTTCCAAGCTCCCTTTCTGGGACACGGACATTCAAATGGACCCCGACGGGCCTTCTCATGTAGGAGGGTGCTTGTGGGGGGGTGTTCCTTGTCCTCTTCAATAGCCTTTAAGCCCCAGTCAGGCACAATGGTCCATGCCAGCGGCTGGGAGCAGAGAGCTGTGCCTGCTGGCTCCACCCACAAAAACGGGGGCTAAAGTGCTCAGGTGGGGAGCCTGTGGCCTGCATGTTGCTGGGGGCTGCAGAGTGACCAAGTTCCACCCAGTGACTTGCCAGGGCAGCCTGGTGCACCCCACAAGCTGGAAGCCGCGGGAGGCTACGCAAAGCCCTTCTCAGCCCTGCCCAGCTGTGCCACCGCGACCCGAGCTTTGGGGATTGGCAGAGCGAGCGGCCCTGCGCTTGCAACCAAAGGAGGGCGGGCACTGCTCAAAACGGGCAGGCGCTTGTAGTTGGGGGTGGGAACTACTCCCTGGTAGAACGATGCCGTAGGTACCTGCAGGGGTCCTGGGTGATCTTTCAGTAAAACTGCTGAGGTTGACAGATCTCGGTTTTCAGTTTGTGAGGAAATAAGCACTTGGGGCCATGGGAAAGATCAAGCATCTGAAGCTCTGCTGCTTCTGTATTATAGTTACTTATTTCTGTGAGCTGTCCCAAGGCTATATAGCAAGGGGACGGCATACAAAAACTTTAAATAAATAAATAAATACCTGCAGACACTCACAATAATATATTACCAGGTAGAGGCAAACACAACTACAAAATCACAGGCCATGTACAGGCACTTTTAGCCTGCTAGTCACATACGTACACCAACAGAGTATTAAATTTAGAGATAATCTTAGTATCATAGCATCCTGATGTCTTTAGGCGTGACATAATGTTCTAAACCATCAGAAATACTGGTACCAATAGCATGGAAAACAGTTGCTGATTGCTGTACAGATAGGTCAGTGTAGCGAATGTGCGACAGTTCAGGACATGTTTAAACATGCAAATGTGTCTGATGGAGGAACCCTTCAGGAAATCTGGTGTGACAGCTACACTGTGCAGGCACTTGCCTCTGTGAGACTAGATGCTCAGGTGGGCCCATTCAGAAACAAATGGACACCGTTGTTACTGATTGCAGCACCCCAAAACACCCCAAGAGCAATTGGCCAGAGAAAGGCCCCAAAAGTAGTTGGCGAGAGGAGGCCACATAGTAAAAGCACCACAGTTATACTGTCCCAGGAGGGAGGGGGGACAAGAACAAAATGAACTTTGTGTAACCCACAGCTAACACGCTAGCCTGACCTCGAATACAGTAATCAAAGGGGCAGTGGAAACTGGTTCTAGCTGCCATGAAAGTTGCAAATGTGCAGGGAGTAAGAACATGGCAAGCCTGTGTGAATCTCAAGCAGGTAAGAAATAGACATGGGAAATGTCTGGTCCTTGACAGAAGAAAGGACTCTCTCTCCAGCACAGGAGGGGGTGCATACATTGATGTATCGATGTATTAGATGTGAATTAGGTGACCTAATTGGTTACCTAGGGTATAAAACGCATGTACCGGGGTGCAACTTTTGAGACACTGCTTTGGGCTGAATGTCCCCTTTTGTCTCCCTTTATTCTATAGTGCACTAGAATAAAGCTGATTTTGGCTCTAAGTCTCATCTCAGGTTCTGTTTGGCTCAGGTCTGGAGTCCACCCAGGTTTGCCCCAGCTGTTGACTGGGTCAGTTTGGTAACACCATTGTTCCAGTTTTTCTGCAGCTGATGAGAACACAGGTATTTCTCCACTGATAGCCTCCAGCAGCTTCTCAGTCCAGTTCAGAATCCCATCCTCTTCAAGTAACAGCAGCACTAAACAGTGACCTGGCTTGGGATTCTGCTGCTTTCTGAGAAAGGAGTGCAGGTTTGATTTTATAACACAAAGGCACATATAAGCAACCGTTTTCTACCAGGATTTATCTGAATTTCCCTGTTTGATAGCTGTAAGGTGCCCTGCCAAATGCATCCAAATGCACAAGTGGTCTTAGTTCACACCAATGGACTTCCACCTCCTGCAGTCCTGTGGCAGAAGAGGTTCAGCAACTGGTGGAAGGAGACTTGTGTGGCTGAAAGCTGTCCTCCCTCCTGCATTTCTTTCTGAGATTCTGCCTCCTCCGGAACATGCAAAAGTGGAAAACCTGAATGGTTAGTTTTCACAACCTTTGTATTTTAAAGTGGGTTTAGAAAGAGCTTTAAAAAATGTTATAGGGTAGAATGGGAGTATATGGAATGTATAGGGATTTCCGTTCTGTGGTGAAAGTGAAAATAGATACAGCTTTGTGGAAAGGAAGAGAGAGAGAGAGAATGAATTTTAGATGGTTGCTTAGACGAATTGCCAGGAGTGAAGAAATACCCAGTTCTTTTTATTTCTCTCTTAAAAGAGCTCACTTTATTTTCCTTCTCTTTGCCTGCCCTCTAGTGGTCTCTGATGGGACTGCACCAAGCCGACACCCTCATCGACCCTGATGCTTCTAATTCTTCGTGCAGCCCTTGTTGCCCCCGCTGCCCTCAAAATGAAGTGGAAAGCCTCCCGGGTCCCTTCCCCCCTCCCCTGTCAGTCCCCCTTACTGACATGTAAAGCGGGGGGGGGGCGGTATCAGAAGCCGAAGGGCCCATCCAAGGCTAGCTCCACTGTAGTGGAACTGGCTGGTGGACATCATTGTCTAAAGCACCCATATTTTATCATGCCCTTGATAAAATTCTGTTTTGGTTCCTGCTTCCATCTCGCTTTGTGTTTTTAATATTTTTACAGCCACAATCTGTAGATAATAATCATGGACTCAGAGCACTGAGAACACAATTAAATGGATGGTTTCTATTGCCCTTTTCAACACAATAAAGATTTTTCCTTCTTATCCTTACAATAAATACCATACACCTATATGAATCAGACCAAAGATCCATCGAATCAAACATCTTTCCCAAAAGTGCCTAATAAGATGCTTCTGAGACGCGTACGTTATGGCTGAGTAAAGATTTGCAGCTGCATCTCTCAGGTCCAGAGATATTGTATACCTTGCCAAATTCAATTTTATTTCTTGCTTTTCTTTGCTATTTTCCCTGCCACAGCATACCTTTAAAACCATGAGGGTTAGAAACCTTAAAAGAAGAGGAGGCACCTAGGAAGAATTGACAAGGCATAACAATGTGTCATAAAAAGCTACACGTTGCCTTTCCTTTGGGTAAGGCTGGTTTACCATCTGCATAATGGGCCCAGTTGACGAATAAGCGACTCCAGTCTCTCAGCTTACTTTATCATTGGATATCAGCGCTTAGGAGGGGAATTGGTGCCTTGTAGATTCCTCTGTGTGTGAGGTAACTCTTTCTTAACTGAAGTACATTACCATTTATATACATATATCGGTCTTACGCAACAGTTATCTTTCACGAGACCGTGCTCTTTAAACGTCTGAGATTCATTTCCGTCACAAAATCAATTCCTCTTTTGGTTTAGTTGGAGAAAGATGGAAAGTGGTAGAAGGCGACTCAAAGAACTTGCTCTCAGCGGAGGAATCCATATGCCTGGCACATCATCTTGGAGAACCCAAGGTATCAATCCATATTTGCAAGTCTTTGTGATTCTATGTGGAGCTCTGGAGAATGAGGACCAGGGCTATAGTTTTCTGAACTGCACCCAGCAGTTCAGAAAACTAGAAAAAGATAAAGATGACAGGGTACAGGGTAGAGGCTTGTAAAATTGTGCCTAGTATGCTCCAAGTACACAGAAACCAATTTCTTTATTTTTGTTCCTCTGTTAGGATGCTAGAATTGGAGTCGTCCAATGAATGTGATCAGGAATAGATTTAGGACAGACAGAAACATACAAGGAGAAGTGAACAGCTGGCTGGAAAAGGCTGTGAGGATTAACTGTGTGCTGCATATTTAATGTCACAGGTAGTTGAGCCCCCAGATGGCTTTGAAAAGGAAAAAACTAGCCGTACTTGGTAGCCATCATGGCTAAATGGAACCACCGTGTACAAAAGGGCAGTGGATGAGAGACTTTTGCAGCCCCTACGCTGTGCTGGTGGAATTCCCAGCCAAGCCAGCTGGATGCTGTGGGAACGGGCGGCGGCATTAAGACAATCTTTGGTCTGCTCCAGCAGGACTTTTCTTGCATCCTTATCCAGGCACAGCATCCCGTGTTAGTCCTGCTGAAGGAGGAGAGGCCGTTCCACCCAGCTCCCCACCTCCAAAAATTTAAAAGCCGGGTGGGGGCTACGGTTTGCCAGGCACTGCTTTGAGGGGGGGGGGGAGCTTGAAATGGTTGTGTTGCTCAGATTTGTTTTAAATGTTGTATTGAAATGCGAAGCTGGACTGCACCATTGTTTTTTATATTTTGTTTTATTATTTTACTGTATTGTAAACTGCCCACAGAGTTTTGGCTAATAGGTCGTCTATAAATGAAAACAAACAAATAAAATGTAGGGTGGCCCCAGTGAAATAAATGAGATTTAGGTTAGTCACAACTCAATGGGTCTATTGTACATAGAACTAACCTAGATGGTGCCCCAGACTCACCATGATGTACCATGAAAACTTGCTGTACCAAGTCAGATCTCTGCCTCCCCTTCTGACCTCGGAAGGGTTAAGGGTTAGTGAATTAGAATACAACATCTGGAAGTTACCCATTCTATACCCCTGGTGGTACAGCATCTTTTTCCCCAAAGTGGCCAGCCAGTTACTTCCAGGCACTGAATATTTACGATTTCTTTATCTTATTGATTACATTTCTCTACTGCCCAGTAATGAAAGCTCTCTGGGCAATTTTCAGAAGATTAAAACCTTTACTATGCAATACAATCCAAATAAAATAGCATGTAAAAATACATACTAAAATAATGTATAATAATCTGCAATAAAAATCCTGGGACCGGTTCAAACTGTGCCATATGCTGCTTGGGAGTAAAGAACAGTTTTAACCTGGTGGTAAAATTACCGTGCTGGCATCAGATGGAGAGCATTTCTCAGATCTGGGGACCACCCCAGAAAAGGCACCGCCCATTGTTTTGTCCTTTGAACATCCTCAGAGGAGACTCTTCCAGGAGTGCCTGAGATGGTGATCATTGCAGATCATGGATGGAATCACACCGGCTGGGCTGCTCCCTCGGGAATTTCCAAACTGAGCCGTGTAGGCTTCACAGGCCAAAGCCACTTTGCTGGAACTGGGCTTGCAAACTTGCAGGCAGCCAGCGCAAGTGAGGCAGAATCGTTCAGCCCAGGCCCCTGTGTCAGCTTGGCCACTGCATTTTGCACGAGCGGCAACTTCTGAACTGCCTTCAAAGGCAGCCCCGTGCAGGGTGCGTTGCAGTAGCTGAACCTGGAGGTTGCCCAGCTCGGACTTCCTGAAGCCAGATTATCCTCTGCAGTGGCAGCGCTGCCTAGCCCCTCGAACCCTGGGAACTGGCACTCAGAGGCAGGAGCGTCCATTTAGCCATAGTGACCAGTAGCCATTGATAACTCCACCCCTCGTGATTCTGTCTAATTCCTGTGAGGATCATCTGTATGCTACCTTGAGCATCTTGGGGGCAGTGAAATCATTAAGCAGAAAGCATCAGGTTTGTCTGCTCTGGGTGGGATCTGCAAAGCAAATGCAGTGTGTTCTTTCTCCAAAAATAGTGAATCTGGGGCACTAGCTAGGTTTTCTCCACTCCTGTGTAGGGTCCTGGCCAGCCGCTCCCACCAAGCAGGGCATTCCATTCTCCTCCTGGTTCCAGTTCTCTTTTTCAAGGGTCATTCTACATTATGTAGTGACTAACACTTCTTACTGCTGTTAGTGTTGTTACATTTTTATTCCACTTTTTGCCTCTTGCAAGAAATCCAGTGCCGCTTCCAGTGAGGTAGCTTAGGCAGAGAATCCATGTTGGCCCACATCCACCCACCCTAATGGCCTGCATGGGGACTAGAACCCAGATTTCCCAAAACCCAGCCCAACACTTGAATGAATACAGCACGGTGTCGCTGCTAGTGCAGCCCTTACTTTGGCTCTTTATTTTAAAAAATAGTTTTTTAAAAAAGTTTATTTATTTATTTTTCGATTTATATCCTGCCTTTTTCCTACAAAGGGCTCAAGGCAGCTTACATCATTCTCCTCCTCCATCTTATTCCCACAACAACAACCCTGTGAGGTGGGTTGGGCTGAGAGTCTGTGACTGGCCCAAAGCCACCCAGTTGGCTCCATGGCTGAGCAGGGAGTAGAACCCAGATCATCTGAGTCCCAGTCCCATGCTCTTAACCACTATACCACACTGTCTTGGTACTTCTGCAGATGTTCTGGGTTCTCCAAACCTAGTCACACTTCTCATCATGACACAGAGATGTCTCCAGCTTCCTTTTTATCTTGTCATGCTAGGTTTTTCACTCCCTTGAACAGTGAACTCAGTTGGAGGATGTTCCTTTATTTAGAAAAACACTTTTCAGCTTGTGACCCTTTTTTTTTCAGCCCAGAAGGACAAGTTCTGCTTACTAAAAGCCCTTCTTCAAAAGTAGTTAAGGTAGTATTAAGGGCCTGCTATGCACTTCATCATCCTAAACACAGCCCAACAATCTCTCTCTAACAGGAAATTGAACTGTTCAGATCATCTGAATGGTATAAAACACACACGCAAGCACATTTATAGCTGGCACAGAGGTTGGTAGGGTGTTGCGAATATTCCAACTCTGATCACCCTCGGAGAGCCAGTGCCGCCATCTTGGTTCCAGTTGGCCTAAAGTCTTGACCAAGGGTACACAACCTGACATTGCCAACCTGACAAATCCAGATGTTTTGTACCACAACTCCCATAAGCCGCATCCAGCAGGGCTGATTATTGGGGATTATAGAAGATATGGTCAAAAACCTCTGGAAAGCTCCAGGGTGCCTGTTGCTGGTCTAGAAGCTAGAAAGAGACGGGATGTGCTATCTCCGACCATACAAAGTATGTCCCCAGATCCTTCATGATGGAGCCTTCTCTTTCTCTTTCCTCCATGACCAGCAGCCCCAGCAGCTTCCACCCACGCCTCTGACAAATACTTACGGGGCTCTCCAAATGCCACATGCTTTCCTTAGGACCCTCAGCCAGGACAGGACCAGCCCCACCATAAGGCAGAAGGAGGCATCCACCTCAGGCAGCAGATGCAGGGAGGTGGCCGCAAGGTAAGAGAGGAGAGATCTGTGGGCCTTTTGGCCTGTCCTGCACTCCTTAAGCGAGCCTGCTACCTTTGGCTGTGTGCAAGAAAACCCTGTCTCACTGCCAGTGTTGACCTGGCTGCTGTACATGGAATGGGAGGAGAAGCCATCTTGTCCTTTGCCGCAGGGAGCAGAATGTCCTGAGCTGAGCCTTTATCACAAACTTTAATCCCACAGCCCCTTGGAGGCTCAGCTGCTGGAAAACAATCCTGGGAATTTTGCTGGCAGGAAGCATTGTCCTGAAGCTGGCCGTGGTTGTCATCATCTTCTCAGGTAATGTTCTTATACAACTGGATTAGGAATGACCACAGATTAAGACTAAATAGCCTGCAGAAAACAGGCACCTTCTAAAAAGTCATGACCATTAGCAGAAGTTACAGAAAGTTGCATTAAGGTGTAAATCCTATGCATCTTTAGACAGAGAAAAGATCTGGGATCCTGGGAGTTGTACACCTTTTTTCTGTTTAAACATGCATAGGATTACACCTATCATTCAATCTAAATTCAGCCCATCTCCCCTCCCCACTCCTATACACTCAAAAAGCGTGGAATGATTGTGAGCCATCATATTTGCAAGCTATCTTCTGTCATGGCATACGTAATTCACAATGTAAGACTCACGCTACAAGGGAAAAGTTGCTAATTGCTAACATACAGGATGAAAGAATTACTTCACTCTGTTGGTAATTCACTCTGTTGCTAATGACTCAAGTCACTGTGCCAGTGTTTCCCTTCTTGGAGCATCCAGACACGTGAATCATTAGGTTGCCTCTGACAAGATGGGTCATTTGGCACAGCCCCTGGCCCTTCGGGAACGGGCGGTGTGCGACATTCCCATGTCGCTTTGCTGCCCAAGAAGATGCATAATAGCAGAGAGCCTGAGTATAAAAATGAAATAAACAAAATAAACGGTATAAGAAAAGTAGAACCTGCATCCAGTGCTACACCAAGTAAGCCAGCAGGCTTGTGCTAGGTGTTCCATGGACACATGGGTGCCAAATGGGCATTTTGCCATGCTTTCTGCCACTTATTCAGGGTAATCTGCAGCGACAGAGCAGGTGAACGGTGTAAAGTGGACACGAGTCCTCTGTAACAGAGGACAGTCCTCTGTTGAAGGGCTGCCAGAGAACTGTCTTCCGTGTTGAAAACAACCTCTATTTAAAGGGCTGTTTCAGCCCAAGCCCAGCTTAAAGATGAAGAGGCACCAGGAGAAAGGGCAAAAAGGCCCTTTCCCCAGCCCCAACCCCAACCCCAGCCCTAGCCAACACCTGGACACTAGAAGGAGCACAACACACTAGTCTCTTGGTCAGTTTTCCACACTATAGCAAGATTCAATATATCTCTATTGAAATGATGGCAACAATTTCTAAGTGTACATTGTTGGAGAAATGTCTGGTTCATTCATTTGGAGGTCAGTAATGCGATTAATCTGCAGCAAGATTTGTCGTTCTGCAGAGTGAGTTATCTGCTAAGAAAAAGAGCAAATTCCCTGAAAAAAGACTTGAACAAAGAATTTATACTTCTATTAACAGCATTCAGATGAGTGCACTATAACCAATCACAAACATCATACTTATAGGCAGTTTTTGTGCACATTTAATTACTATTATTAAGAATAAAAACATATACATTTGATCCTAATGCATGCAAAGGCATAGTTACATAATATAACCTAATGGAAACTTCACATACATCCTTCTTGCCTCCTTCTCTCAGGAAGTGCTACGAGGAAACTGAAAACTTTTGGCCCCATGCATGCACTTCTCCAAAACGTTCCAAATTTTCTTCTTAACCTTTGCGGTTCTCGCACCCAGTTGCTTTTCTTCCCCCGCAGCATCTATGCACGTGAAACGGCACGTGCAAATTTGCTTATAGGCTCGTGCCCCAAAAGAATGGCCTCTTCTGAGGAAATACGGAAGAGGCTACTCCACCAATGTAGAGAAGGTCACAAATTAGGGGAAGCTCAAGAAACATGACAGACTTTGCTGGGATTTCCCCAGTGTGGGGCTTGGCAAGGATGCCGCTGAGCCTTGTGGGCCAGCACCTTGTGTTGCCAAAGCGAATGCTGAATGGATCCTGGCTCCAAGGCAGGGCAAGCAACTGGTGCCCCCCCTCCCAGATGTTTGCGCTTGCAGTGCCACCTCCTACCATTGGCTGAACCGGATGGAGCGATGGAGGTTCATCATGAAAAGGGCTGGAAGACCACTGTGACCACAAGGAAACAGTGGTGCGCTCTGACCGTGTGTCCGGGTTTTCTCTGGATAGCCACTCTTGTTAATTTTTCTCCAACAAGGCCTGAGTTTGTGGCCTGTTACTGCTTCCAACGGTCTATGCCCACTGGCTCATGATGGGTAAGGCTTCCCATGAGAAGCTTGTTAATTAACTTTGGTTTTTGGATAGCTCTGGGTGTAATCTGAATGTCAGCAGAGACCTGGGAAAGTCCCTCAGCTATTTGTTGGCCATCCTTCCATTGCTTAGATACTTGTTACTTTTTGTCTGGCTGAGTTTGAATTAGACACAGCCTAAGAACCAGGAGACTCTGAGCAGTGTCTCAGCCATCTTGAAAGCACAGTTTACCATGAGCTGGGGCTGGCCAAGACCAGTTGCTTGGCATAGAGATGCCCAAGATGTCGGGATGTCTTATCTTTTAAGTGTCTTCCCCATTTAGTCATGTGCAAAGCTTATTGATTTTGGGCAGTTTAACGACAGCAAGTAAGATTGTGGTATACACAAAAACGCCTAGAAAGCCATGGCTATTGGGTGACATATAAATAAATAAATAATCTATACAAGGTTAGAGAATCTTCGTAAAAGCAAGACCGCAATACAGATCTAGCTGCATGAGGGACTGCATTCCAGCACTGTCGTTTCTTTCTTTGTGGGGTCTTGGAAGCAGAAGGGATATGGGCCTCATATTCTGTTCATAGTTTGCCTTTATAGTCTCCTTTCCACTGTTTGCTAATAAAGCTTTTGAATCTTTACCCACAAGGGTGCAAAAAAGAACCACCGGCACTGTTAGAAAAGAGATGTAGCTCAAAGCATCTGGAAGGGCATGTGCTTTCCATCCCTGCTGCACAAAAAAAATGTTTTTTTTTTTAAATGCTGCAATTCCAGCTACTCTAGGAAAGGTTGAAAGTGTCAGAACTTGACGGATTAGGGCTTTCTTGACAGACAGTCCTGAGCAAAATAAGTGGGGGGATAGTACAGAATCAAAGACACCAGGTTAACTTCTGCAGAAATACCCATTGTTTCCTTTACTTAGCCAGTGTGTTAATTCTTACTCTGTTTTAAAGCTTACCAATGTACTTCAAAAGACAAGCAATCAGGAAAAAAACAGGGCTCCAACTTACCGGAAAATGAATCATGTACACCAGCTATAGAAAATGTATTTGGTAAGTCCTCTCTTTAATAGGTCCGCACTAATTCTGAAAATCTGGAGCATAGTCCCACTAAAATTAAGTCCTGTTTAAGCCCTATTGATTAGGGCTTAAAGTTTAAGCTTCAGTCTCTCCCAGTGAATTTAATGGGGCTCTTACCTATCCCTGGATTGTGCCTCTTGACACGGGACGATGGGTGTGGGGCTGATGGAGAAAAAGAATTAATGTGTGTCCATTTCATATACTGGGGTGCCACTCTTAGGCCTAGGCCAAATCCAGTGCTCCTGGGACTGCAGCTGCTGGGCCTCAATGGCTTTTCTTGACCGGGGATCATTTGGTGGCTTCCTGGGTTCTGTGCCCCTTTTATCATCATAAAAGGCCATGTTGGCTCTCAGAGGTTTAGTAATCAGGAGTAAGGGGTCTGAGCTTGCAGGCACCTTGGGCTTTGGCCCGTGCCATGGCCTAGCACTGGAATGCTGCCGCAGGAGGTTTTCCAAAACAGAGCTCGTCCCTCCAGCTGAAAGGGGTTCCATGTCCCTGATGTACAGAACAAGAAAGGGCCAAGGAAGAATCCATGCTGGAAACATTTTTTTAATGATGACTTGCAGTTGTACAAGATGCACGATTCTGTTGTGTTTTTCAGCCCTGGAAAACTTCCAGAGTTCCCTCTAGTAACAGGAAGCCTGTGAACATGGGCATAAAGTAATACTCGGATGGCAGTGAAGCTGATTTGGAACAGCTTGAAAATATACTAAAAACCCAAAAGTATTCTATAGGTGGAGTGAGGATAGGTTCTTCAATCTTGCAGAAAAATCCAGGGCTGGCTGGCTAGCACAACTGGCTAATAGGCAGGACATAGGAACATAGGAACTGAGCAAGTCAGAAGGGGTCTCCCGAGCCATCTAGTCTGACCCCCGGCTTCACCTGGCTCCACTCATGACATGCCTCCCATTGCAGGACATTGCAAATGGTTTAGATTTCCACACAAAATGAAGCCTAAGTTAGAAAGAAAGACCACCTTCTGCGGTAGGGAGAAACACAGTCCTGGTTCACATGTCACGACTGGCAACTCTTTGTGATTATCATGATTTGTGTGTTTGTTTGTTTTTTAATTTGCGATGGTAATTCTCCTCCGTCCAAGGTCTCCTTCCCTCTCAGCCCTCCAGGCGACATCCCAGCAGGCACCACAAGGATGAAAGAGGCTCTTCTCTCTGACAGCAGCAATTACAAGCTGAGTTCAGCTTCCTGCAGCTCTCAGACGGTCTTGGTGGCACAAACAGGGAGCGTGCCTTGCAAGGCAGCAGGGGAGAAAAGGGAGCTGATGAGGAGCCCTGGCCTGGTCCATGTGCAGCAAAAGGACGGAAATCAGCTGGGTGGCGCTGTGGAAATGTCATTTCCCTTCTGCCATCCCTTTCCTGCATGCCAGGAGGAAGCCTCTCTCACATGCGAGCAGGAGGGACAAGAACCAGCTGGGCAGCAGGGGGGCTGCACATCTGAGCGGCTGCCCCCATGGCCCCCATTCTCACTCTGGCTGGCAGAGAGAGGCATCCGTAACCCTGTGCCTGTCTTGCACAGGCGGGCTTGGGGACACCTCTCTGGCAAGCTGGAGTGGGGGCGGGAGACTTCCGCCTCCCCTGCATCACAGCCGCCCTGCTGATCCCCACCCCTGCTGCCCACACGTGGAAAGGGCGGCAGAGGGGGGATCCTCTGAGGCCTGCAGCCCCAACCAGGTGCCACCACCCAGCTGATCCTCACCCCATCACGTTTTAGGAGACGGGGGAGCCAGCCGAGCAGCGCTGCTCCATTCCCAGAGATCTTTAGGACAGAGGGTGGGGGGAGCAGGGATCCTTCTGACAGCTGTGGCCACTCTTGCCAAGCAGCTCTATGGTACTGGCCTCGGTACCACAGCAAGCTGTGTTTTTTGGGTTCAGATGGCACAGCAAGCCATTGTGGTACCAAGAAACCATAGAACAAACCACTGTTTCTGTTCATGGCTTCTAAAACACAAATATGTCATGCTGAGATTCCACTGCAGAGTTCCCATGACATGGTGGACCAAGAATGGTAAAAACAAAACAAAAAAAAGGAACATTGTGGCTTGAGCCATGTGAATCTGCCCGCAGGGTACGGCATCAGTGCTGTTCTCCGCCCCCTTTTCTTTCTATGGGCAGTTCTCACCTTTGCCTCAGGGCAGACCAAACAGAAATTGGTGTTCAATGTGAATCCAGAACTTCCCTTGCCAAGAATGATGAGGGAATGATTAAATTAATAAATCTAGAATATTTTTAATTCTATGACCTTAACATTTTTTGTAGGTCTTGGAAGCTCAAAGGGCTTTATTCTTATAAATCAGAAACTTGATACCTACAAAGTTGCTAAGTATATGACAATTGACTTATGGGGGTGTAGCACTTTGCACTTTCGGACTGATAACAGACACTTCATTAGAAGGAATGTTTATATCAGTGACGTTTAAGGACCCAACCCCATGCATACTTAGGCAAAAAATGTGTACAACTCCCAGGATTCCCCAGCCTTGAGGGAAGGGAGTTGCTGGGTTTTGCTTCTTTCTAAATACGCGTAGGACTGCACCCTAAGCGGTTCTCCCCCCGCCCCTCTAGCAGTGTATTCATCTCCACCTTCGGCATTGATAATCCCCCTACCCAACTAACCCCCCGCTCTTGCTCCTGCAGCCAACGTGCTTCTCGATCCAGCCACAGCGCACCAGGCACTCACCATTTCGAAGAACCTGAGGGAGGTGCGATGGAAAGGCTCATCAACACACGTGACCAACAACTTGGAAAGATTTTCGAACTATCCCTGTGTGCTGGGCCAGGGGGGATTTACCTCAGGCATCCACTGGTGGGAGGTGCAGGTGCTAGCAGGGCATCACTGGGTTTTGGGGGTTGCCAGGGAGTCCATTGAGAGGAATGAGCCGTTTGTTTATCGGAAGAACTGGTCCTACTGGGTGATAGGAAATCAGTGCAGCTCATGCAATGACTTTGCCTTCCATTTTGCTTCTATAGGTGTGTTTCAGAATGTCACAAGGATAAAGGTCTCTGTGAACTATGATAGGGGGCAGGTATTATTTTTTGATGTTGATTGGGGGTTTCAGGTGCATGCACTAGCAGCTGACTTCCTTGGAGAGAAAATTTACCCCTTTTTCTGTGTGATGTTCAACACGCATCTTAGACTATCTCACTGCCTTCCTTAACACTTGCTTTCCCCTCCCCACTGAAGTAGGATTCTTCACTGGGCGTCTGCATGATGTCCCTGTATTCCTGGTCCAGGACTTCTGGGTAAATTCAAGCCCAGCTGCCCCCACACCAGCTCTGGTGACTGGGAGAAGTCCTCTTCTGCTTGGCTCCGCCAGCCGACGTGATGACGATGGGCACAAGGGCTGGCCGTGATGCCTACCTCGTTGCCAGTCTCTTTTCCTCCAGCATCACTTTGTGCAACCTCACTGGGGTGTGCTTTTGAAAATGCCCACTTGACTAATTTCCTTGTATATTAACAAGGGATGGTGATAATGATAATTATGATCATGTCTTCTATTGCCATTAAGGTATGGCTGTTCTGTTGATCATTTCAGAGTGCAATGGCTTTCTTGTCCTATGATGGTACTGATTCTTGGCCTCTCAGAGGCCAAAACTGCCTTACATTATATTAGACTATTTATCCATCTACCCCACAATTGTCTAACATGGTCTTCTTGAACCCAAGGACCTCCAGAACCCACCAGTTCCCATCAGCTGCAGGCAGCAGGGCCACATGGCAAGAGTGCTAGGAGTTGTAGTCCAGAACCTCTAGAAGATACCAGGTAGAGAAAGGTGGCCTGCTGTGACTGCAGGTGGCAGGCAGAGTCTTCCCCAGCCCTTCCTGGTGATGCCGGAGATCAGATCTGGGACCTTTTGCATGTGCAGGCTGTGCTGGGCCACTTTGCTACAGCTTTCCCCTTCCGCAGTGAGTTGCATAATAGTTCACCTCAGAAGTGTCTGCAAGGGAGCAGCCAGATGCCCCGAAATATTGGCTGGGTTCCTATGACACGCTTAGCCACACCGCCCAGCAAGCGACACAATGTGACTTGTGACCTGCCCCACCCAAAATACATCCAGCAGATGATCACATGCCTCCTGGGGAGGATCCCTTCTCCGCCTCCTCCTCTCCCAGAGGTATCCCAGGAGGCCCCGCAGGTGCACGGAGGCGTCCCCTGCAAGCAAAGGGACAGGGCAGCGCCCGGCAGTGAGGAGGCGCTGCCGCTCCAGTGAGCCACCAGGCCAGCCTCAGTGGTTCCTCCCGTGTGGGGGTGGAGCAGGGGAGGCACAATCGGCACAGCCTCTTGCGAGTTGGCTGAATCGTTCCTTGCCCTGTGTTGCTGCTGTGAAGTCCACAGGAATTGTGGCTACAGCGTAAGGAGATCAGGAGCTGGCAAGGGTAGCTACTGCTGCTCATGGCAATTGCCACGGCGGTGGGCTCAAAAGGGGTTGCTGGGGCAACAGGCACGGCAGGAGGCCTGTGACAGCCACCTGAAGTGCCCCCAGAAAAGCACCTGTGTATGTAACTGATAGGTTATAAAAGCATCTTGCACAGACTCCATCTTTGTAGTCCCTTCGGGGGCTGCCTACATGCTGCAGGTATTTCCTATATGTCGGAATAAACTGCAGGTGTTCTTTTGATTGTACCCGCCAGCCAGCAGGCTCCCTCTGGTTTCCCTTGTCACGTGTCACAACAAATAACTTATCAGTCCTTTGTCCTTGTATCCTCTGTAAAGAGCAATTCATACCATAATCTTCTTGCAAACTTAAAGCCCTGAACTACTACCAAAAAAGAAAACTGGACTATATTTAGGACAATTGTAATAAAATCATCCCAGTAAAATCTACACTCAATTTCATGCATTTATTTTATTCATTCATTCATTTTATTCCTGTGCTACCCAATAATCAAAGCTCACTAAGTGGCAAACTACCCACCAGTATGTGTAACACTTTCCCTTTTGTGCCTGGTGTTTTCAAATGGGGATGGGGAAATACTAGCAGAGATGTGTCACAGGAAGGAGACATTTCATAATCCTGTGACTGCACCACAGGTCAACACACCTCACAAGTGCGACTCTGCAGGCATGAGAGGGACCTAATGTGTGCACCCCATTGTAGCTGTGCAGCCTGATTTACTGAGGAGTGAGTGCTAATGAGTTCAGGGAGCTCTAATTCCTAATTAAATAGCCCGCATGATGTAGCAGCAGTCCGTGGCTATCCCAAAATAAGCACCACCGGCTTCCACGAGAACGTCTCTCAGCTAAGTGGGTTAAGAATCGCAGCCTCTTACTGAACGTGTTCCTCAGGACACGTGTACAAACTTGCATGCATTCTCAAGATATGTGTTCAGTATTCTAACTTGGCACTGATTCATCTTGGAAGAAAGAAGCATGCCCCCACACACACACTGGCTTTTTTTAAAAGGGGGTAATTTACTGAATGCAAGCAAGAAACTAAAATATGCACATCATAAATAGGAGAAATTAACTTGGTGCTGCACTGAGGCATCCAAATAGGCAAAACATGCACAGCACTATATATGCAAAGTGGATTTACTTTGTTCTCTTCATAACTGAACCAGGAGGTTCCGTGCATATGCTGAACATACATGCATAATCAGGACTGGGTTTCTTGGTGCTGGACTGTTGGAGAGAGGCAAAATAGGGGGCTGTAACCCAATTTGGAAAGGAAAATAAAGGTTTGAGGATGAGCTTGCAAGAATAAAAAAGAGTTTCAGGGCATCTCTGCATGAGATATATTATCTAGCATTTTACCGAGGCTCCTTCTTTCACTTTTTAAACTTCAGGATTAGAACGTCCTTCACAAGAGGAATTTCCTCCGCGCCTTTCTGTATTTGCCATTATACAACACTAGGTGGCGCTGCGAGTTACGGTGGAATTGCAAAAACTGCAATGAAATAGCAGAAGAAAATAACAAGATTTACCTCTCTCTAAAAAATGCCACAAAAACGTCTAGAAAACTCGGGAGAGCCCTCAGAGGATGACAACATTGTGTAAGCAAAAGATCACAAGCACACAATAAATGACTCATGCAGAGAACCCCAAAGGGTTCAGTGTGGCATTGTGGTGTTAACCACAACAGACAAGAAAGCTATCTTTCTTTCTATGATCGGTCAGTTCAACCACATTTTCCAGAAGACGAGTGGTATCTCTTCTTTTCCAGAAGAGGAAACCCAGTTGGGCAATGCGGTCTCACCCGTGATTTTGCCCACTGGCCAACCAGGAGAAGGTGGATGGGCTCCCACCAAATATTTTACCCCCGCCCCCCGCATCGTTAACCCATCAATTTCCATGGTTTGTTGTTGGGTTAAGCATCAGTTGATCTATGGGGCTTCTTCCATATTACATATTCAGCACGGGGTAGCCAGTGTTAATCAGGTGAGCTCCATAAAATTAGACAGCAGTGGCCAAACAGTCCTGTCCAGCAGTAGTCCAAAATATTTGGAGGCCTATCCTGGCCCTGGCATAGCAGTTGAGCTATCGTGCTAATGACTTAGGGGTCCCAGGATCAAATCTTGACTCATCCATTAAGTTCCCTGGCCAGATAATCAACTCAAAAGTCCCCTTGATTTCAATAGGTACAACTCCCAGGTAAATAGACTCAGGATTGCAGATGTGTGGCCTTGGGCCAATAACTTTCTCAGATCAACCTACCTCACAGGGTTGTTGAGACTATAAAATGATTGCAGGAAAGACATGTTTACTGGGCTGACTTCTCTGGAGGAAGCAGGGAAATTCACATAGCCAATAAACTCCCATGAGACTGCAGCAGCATAGGCAGCAGAATCCTGAACTTGCTTGCCCTGAGTCCAAAGGAAGTTGCAGCTGAGTCCACTCAGAAAGAGTCCATGGTAAGAATATTTTGGCATTAACGCCACACTCCTGGATCATGCACTCTCTGCCTGAAGGGCTGTACCCTGTTCTTTACTTACACAAGCCTTGCTCGAGCTCATGGGTCCTCAAACTAAGGCCTGTGGGCCAGATCCGGCCTGCCATGCCCATTTAACTGGCCTGCCCCACAGGTTTTGCACTTGCTGGGCACGTGCAGGCATACGGCTTGCTTGCGAGGAGGTCATTTTGGACTCGCTCGGAGAAAACAAACTCCTCGTGAGCAAGCCAGCGTCTCACCCTGCACCCCCCCCCGCAAAACCGGTACTGCCTTGGCGGCCCGTGCCCACTGCTGGCACCTGTCAACTGGCCCCCTGTTGAAAAAGTTTGAGGACCCCTGCTCAAGCTGATGCCTGCAGAAGCATTTGAACTACAACTCCCAGAATCCCCATTGGAAAACTTGGCACGATCTGTGGAGCTAATGAGCAAGAGTAACCATCTAAGAGAGGCTTTGTTCATGTGGCCACATTTGAAAATTCTATTACAGGTATTATGACATTATAATGTAAAAAAAAACAGAAAGGTTTGGTAGAGGTGTAAAAAAAAAGAAAAAGAAAGGAGAAAGGAATCTTATTGCAAAATAAAAGGCACACTGTGGATTTTTCCAAGTGCAGGCCTACTCTCACTTTCCATTTTTTAATAGTACAAAGTAAACAAGATGTCACATGGCCCTAGTTATGAAGTCACATGATTCTAGTTACTAACACAGCTTCCTTTTCTAAGCAAGGCAAGCACTTTCTCAGACTCAACAAGCTAACCGTCTAGGTTATGGCAGCCTTTAAAATTCTTCAGGAAGACATAAGCCAAAAAGAGGGGAACAGTGGAACTTAAACTCAAATAGGGGGACATTCTCATCAATGGCAGCTTCCTTTTGGGGGAAGGTAATAATTTTTGTGATAGAAAGTTCTTTAATATTTAAGGATAGGCTTGTTCTTTTTAACTTCCTACCCATCTTCTGGAATTTAACAGAAGAGCAACATGGATGGATTTTAGGTGCCTCTTGAGAGTTAAAGACTATTATTAAACACTGGAAAGATGAGCAGTGGGGGAGGATGTAATAATCTTTCAACAGGTGATCTTTAAGTCTAATCAGCCCTGCATTTACAAGAGCTGAGACTCATTCACAGGGTCACCATATGCTGGAAATAAATTGATGCCACATAGCAACAAATGAGCAGATTAATATATGGCTATTTGTGCTACCTTTGTTGAAGCTTATGCATAATTGTTTTAACAGTATTATTTACATGCTAATATAGATGGATACACAGCATATAGGTAAACAGTGTAATAGATTTTATAAATCTTATGCAAAACCTTTTAAAGTATTGTAAGCGGTCCTGAGATTTTTATATGATAGGATGGCATATAAAAGCTTTTTATAAATAATAAATTAGTAAGAAATAAAACCTATATTTAGTTTATTTTGTTTTTCTCTTCATGGTGCGGTTTGGTTTTTTAACATGCAATTAAAGGAGGACTACAGTGATGCAGGCTTACTCCAAAGTAAGTATATCTACAAACACAGTCATGTAGTACACAGTACTAAGCCAGTTTGCTCTGAAGCAAGCCTTACTGAGTTAGGATAATAAACATGTTTGGGATAATATCCAGTCTTTAACATTCAATACATCTGCAAAAAGTGGGTGCTAATTCATGAAAGTCTAAAGCTGCAACTCCATACAGACTTTCCTGCAAGTAAGCTACACTGTACCAATAGAATTTACGCACCTTGCATTTATATCCTCTTTTTCCCTCTTGGAGAAACCCAAGGCAGCTTGGATAGTTCTTCACTCATTTTCTCCTCACAACAACCCTGTGAGGTAGGATAGGCTGAGAATGTCACCAGTGAGCTTCATGGCCGAGTGGGGATCTGTTGAGTCCCACTCTGACACTAAGCACCATGCTGCACTGGCTCTCTGAGTAGACAGATAGGATTGCACTGGACGACACAACACATTTTCACTTTTAAGGTGTCCCCATACTCCATCTTATGTTAGATTTAATAATACTGTTCTTGGGACACCTTTGGGAATACTGTCTGAATGAGAGGATGCCAGCTGCTTGGGAGAAGTAACTTATGTACCAAAAGTTCTTCCTGTGAAGAGTAGACCCACTGAAAGAAATGGGACAGCCTATTGATGGCGAACAGGTCCCATTCATTTCAATGGTTCTGTTCTACATCAGACTAGCATTGGATACAACTAATTGGTGTATCCAGTGTTAATTGCCCATGGATCTGCCAATTGATCCCCATCTACTTATCCCTGCCCCAGCCAGAATACAATCAGGAAGTATTTGGTCCTCCTGCCTACGCGCCTGTTTCCCCATACCTTGTGCTATCTGATTTTGGCCCTGTCCTCCTTTGGGCTAAGTAATTTTCTTCGTCACTCTTTTAAATCTCTTCACTCCCTTGTTTCAAATCATCCTTTCACACCTGTCAAAAACAACTATGAAAAGTGCAGGAGCTCCTGCCCTTTTTTTAATGCCTGTGTTGGGCAGTTTCCCTAAGAATTTGCTGCTTGTTCGTTTTAAAGAAGGAAAACTCGGCTTCATCGAGCGCGACCGTCGGCTTTTTCGCTCCCCACTCCCGGAAATGTGAAAGCGAAAGCGCAAGCGCTTGAGGCGCGTGAGCGAGCGAGCGAGCGAGCGAGCACGCCCTCAGCGCCGCGCCTCGTCCCTTGCATTTAATGGAAGAGCCGAGCCGCGACGGCGGCGCTTCGCGGAGCCCGGTTCCCCCGGCGAGCCAAGCCGAGCGCGCCCGCATGGCCTCCAGCCTGGCGGAGGACCTGGTGTGCCCCGTCTGCCTGGCCATCTTCCGCGAGCCCCACTTGCTGGGCTGCGGCCACAACTTCTGCCTCTCCTGCTTGCAGGGCTGCGTGCCCAAGGGCCAGGGCGCGGGGACGTGTCCGGAGTGCCGCCTCCCCTTCCAGCTGCGGGAGCTGAAGCCCAACCGCGCTCTGGCCAGTCTCTCCAGCAAGGCCCGCAGGCTCAGGCTGGACGAGGGGCCGGCCGTGCACTTCTGCGAGGAGCACGACGAGCCGCTGAAGCTCTTCTGCTGCCAGGAGAGCGCCCCCATCTGCGTGATCTGCCGGGACCTGCCCCAGCATCGCGGGCATGATTTCCTGCCGACCCAAAATGCGGTGAAATACGCGCAGGTTAGATGGCCGAGGACGAAAACACACAACGTGTGTGCCTGGGCGGGGCGGCTTTTTCACTTGTACCGGTTTTACTTAAGAGCAGGCAAAGAACCCTCAAATTGGGTTCAGGCCTAGCGTGGGCCTGAAGGGAGGCTTTTAAGCCGGGAGTTGGGGTTCCTGTGCCTGCTGTAGAACAAAAATGAAAAGCGACCGCTGCTCAAAAGATACTAAACATCTCCTTTTCCGAGAAGCGAAATGGCTACCCCTGGAGGGGTGGAGGATTTCCTTCCATCATAAACTGCTTGCTCAGTTTTTGGGGTCTCATTGCATGTCAGAATGCAAAGTGGGTTAACAGCAGTTAATTCCACTGAGTTCCCTGGGACTTTCTCTCAGGAAAGTACACAGACAATTGCAACCTTTCATGTGTCTGCATATCGAAAAGGAAGCCCCATTGACCTCAGTGGGTTTACTAAAGAGGGCCTGGTTTGTCTGAAAGAATCTGCTACTCTTCCTGTTTTCCTGCCAGGGGCAGATGCTGCAAGGGGCACCCCTCTGGCCACTTTGAATGGAGGGAACTTCAGCAGGTGTTGTTCACTTAATTGTCCTGCTGAAATTCCCTCATCAACAAAAGTGTTCAAAGTGCAGCAGCTGTTCCTTGCATCTGAAAACATGCACCTGGTGAGTTGTCTTGCCTACACTTTTTAAAATGAAAAAATGGCATGGTTGTATGGAAACCCTGCGTTTCTCAAGAAGGCATAGTTTTGCAGCTTGTGAGTGCTGTACAAAATAAACACATCTGCATTTCCTGATAGTCTACAAAATGTACAGTGCCCTCTAGAAGCAGACGTTAGTATGGTTGAGTTCTGTGGAGGATCCTGAGAGCCAGTGCAGTGTGGTTGTTGGAGTGTTGGACTGGGGACCTGAGAGATCCAGGTTCTGATCTCCACTTTGTCATGAAGCTCATTGGGTGACTTTGGGCCCATCACTGACTCTCAGCCCAACCTACCTCACAGAATTGTGTTTCTGAGGATAAAATGGTGCAATGTAAGCTGTCTTGGGCTCCTCACAAGAGGGAAAAGGTGAGCTATAAATGCAATGTAATAATAATATTCTAGGGTATAAAATTACAGACTTATTATTCTCCTAGGCCTTCTAGCTGTAGTAACATGCAGGCTGATCCAAACAAGTAAGCCTCACCGGATTCAGTGAGTTTACTTGCAAATCAGAATGCAAAGGTTTGTAATTCATAACTATTAAAGTCACCCAAGGCCAACCCGATATTGAAATGGGTTCTCCTGTCTATGCTGTCAAATGCCACATATATGTACTTCCTCCTCCTCCTCCTGCTCCTCAAGTCTCTGCTGGATGAAAAAGGTTTAATTCCATGGCATTTGTCCCTCCTGGTAAGGAATAAGTAGATTTGTCTGTGGAGCCTATTGCAGCCTTTTCCTTCCTGCTGTCCACCAGATGAAGAGGTTACCCTCAGGCAGAGCTGCATGTCTTGAAGCAAGTGGATAGGGAGATTGGGTTGTCTATGTCTCAATAATGGAAACCAGCGGGGTCTTCCCATGCAGCTGATTGATGGGTGATTCAGGACAGATGAAAGGAAGGACTTCTTCACACAGCTCATAGTTAAACTATGGCATTCTCTCCCACAAGATGTGAAGACCACAAATTTGGGCAGTTTTAAAATGAAATTGGGTAAATCCACTGAGAAGCTTATCAATGGCTCTAGTCCTGATGGCCATATGCTGCTTCCAGTTTCAGAGGCTGCTTGCTGGGGGAACAGTCTGTAGGACACCAGAAGAAAGCTGCCTGGCTGTGATGTTGAAATATGTGAAGTTTTCTAGTTTAAAAACTTACTGTAAGAGGAAACTTTAGGTCTTCTATAATAATAGAAGATCTGGCTGTCAGGGTCCTCTTTGAACATCAGTTGTTGATTTGTGCTCAACCACTGTGTGTTTCTCTCTTGCACAGAAAAAATTGAAACCATATCTGAATGTTCTGGAGAAACATCTAAATCTTTTAGTTGAGGCTGAAGATTATCAGAAGGATGAAATCAATGCACTCGAGGTAATAAACGGGGTGGATCAAAGAGGGGCAAGATTCACAGGAGAGATCAAAGGTTTACTGGCAGATATACCCAAGTTTAAATTATCTTGTTATTGAAAAAGAATGTGCAGTGGTGTGTAATAGCCTGAGTTATAGGTGCTATTAATCTCATATGGTCTGTCTTCTGGAATGTGGGTGGTTTGTTGAGGCTCCAAAGGACAAGCGCATGTTGTTTATGGCACTGCTTTGGACTGGATGGGTTGCTAGGTTGTACGTCTGATTTCCTCTGGCCTGCCTAGGGAGATTTTGAAGGCTAGGGAGGAGTTCCTTGGAGAACAAAGCTTGGGCCCAGCTGCTAACAGGCCCAGTCTCTGCCTTCAAAAGTATCAACTGTGAGCCATCCCTATACACATTTCCAAAGTGGGAGAGGTGTGTCTTTCTTGTGAGTAGGGCTTGGGTGACATTATTCTTTGGGTCAATGGCCCCCAATGATTTGTGATGGAGGTAGGTGTCAGGAGCGGCCTTAATGACAGTACTTCATTTTTCCCAAGGTATGATGGCCATTTGAAGTTTCTAAAGTAAAGTTTCTAAAGGATACCATGGTTGATGGTAACAAAAGCACCAAGAAGCCCAACAGAATCTTGCCCAGGAAAGGAGTATCTGTGAACAATCTAAAGTTATTCAGATCCTCCAGGTCAAGGGAAGATTTCCTGCAAAGTGAGCTCACCACTTCCTCCTTAAGGCAGCCTGGGACCACTCTCCCTTGCATTACTCACCTCCCTGGCGAAGATCCAGTGCAAAGGTGGTTGTATGAAACTGGCCAAGCACCTACATCTACATCCTTGAGCTGTACCAACTGAAACTCGTAAATGGCAGCCACTGTTTTATTTATGTATTTGTTTTTATTGGAGTTTTAACTTCAGAACTCTAGCAGCCACAAAAAGTGTGCATATATTTCACCTCTTCAGATATTTCTCTTATGAGTGCCTTTTTAGAAATAACCTCATTTTATAGTTTATAAACTTGGAGGTATATTTGGTGCTTTCTCCACTGTAAAAATGGCTTCTTGCTGGTTTGTTTTCTCCACTTCTTACAGTGGTCTACTGAAGAAAAACAGAGACAGATTTCCAGAGAATTTAAGGTTCTCCACCAGATATTGCATGAAAAGGAACAGAAAATCAAGATGATCGTGCAGAACATGAAGAAGAAGAATCTGAAGGAAATGGAGATCGCCTTAACTGTTTTCCAAGAGGAAGTGCTTTCAAATAAACACATCATTGACAAGATCAAAGCAGCATCAGAAACTACAGACCAAGTGGCATTTCTCAAGGTAGGGATTTTTGGAGAAACTCCACTTTTCACAGTTATTCGGGGTGAGGTGAGGCTTTCAGAGCTAAAAATGCTTAAATAAAAGGGAAAGTTTTAAGGTAAAACTGTAGGCATTCCCAAACATTTTTAGTTAGGTGGTTGCTCATATTATATATGTATTAAACATATTCAGTGGTACCTTGGCTCACGATCTTAATCCGTTCCAGGACTCTGGTTGTGACCCAAAGTGGTTGTGAGCCAAGTTAAATTTCCCCATAAGGTTCAGTGTAAATAAGGTTAATCCATTCTATAACTATTTTTTTAATCAGAAAAATGTGAAAAGCAAAGTGACAAAGAACAACAAAGATCGCGGCTGTCTCCCTGCCCCTCCATCATCCTGGCACGCTGGGGGTGGGGGAAGAGACAGGCGCGATCGCAGGCCCGCTGTGGGGGGAAGAGATGGGCGCAAATGTGGGCACACTCGGTGGGGAGACAGGCATGGTCGTGTTGGGGGGGGGGAGATGACAGATTGCGGTTGCGCTCATGCAGGAAAGACGGGCGCGATCTGGCCATCTCCCCCCCCCCACCTCCAGCACAATCGCGGCCATCTCCCCACTTGGGGGGTGTGGGGAGATGGCCGCGATTGCGGTTGCCACCCAATGTGAAGTTCGTCACCTGAGTCAAAAAATTTTACGAAATTTTTGTTCGCAACCAGTTTTGGTGGTGAACTGAGGTGTTCGTGAGCTGAGGTACCACTGTATACATATTTTATAGCTGTATATAGTATCAATAAAGGTAAAGGTTTCCCTATGTCATTAAAGTCCAGTCATGTCTGACTCTTGCGGGTGGTACTCATCTCCATTTCCTAGCTGAGGGAGCCAGCGTTGTCCGCAGACGGTCTCCGTGGTCATGTGGCCGGCATGAGTAAACACCGAGGTGCACGGAACACTATTACCTGCCCACCAAAGTGGCACCTTTTTATCTACTTGCATTTGCATGCTTTTGAACTGCAAGGTTGGCAGTTCAATAGTAGCAATAGAGTTTTACTTTTTTCTTAATCTCCTTTTACAGATTGCTGTAAAAAAGATTCTGCTTGTTATATTATGTATAGCGTTCTCTGTCCTTTTGTAGGTGCTGAGATGATGAGGATATTGCTGATCTTGCAGCTTTAATGCTTTGGGAAAATATGTAAAGAAATACATTTCAGTCTTTCTTTTTCTTGCAGGACTTCAAGAACCTGATGGAAAAGTGAGTTTTTTGGGGAAGTCTTTTCATGTTTCATGTTTCTTGTGTGCTTCTCTTTCCAAAATCTTTCTCTTCCATGAATCCGCCCCCCACCTCATAAGCATCTTGTTTGCTTATGAGCCTCTTAAGTCCATATTTCCTTACAAGGAACAGAAACCTATGGGGCTATCCTCACAACTGCCTTCAGAGATTGTAGGGGCTCTCACTTTCGTCTAAAGACAAAGTGCCTACGTAGCTCACCCATCTATGTTCACACATATATATGTGTGCGAGTGTATAGTGCCCTAGATGCCAGTCATTTTTTTGCATTTTAAAAATATTAGCAAGACTTGCACAACTGCAGAGGGGTGCGATTTCACAGGGATCTGAAAATGCGAAGCCTATCTGAGCAATGCCCCAAGGGGCACCTACTTTCAAAGTGCAGCAGGGACCTGCCCTGGCCCTTGACTCTTTGGCAGGGCTCACACAACATGCTCAACCCCTTGGGAAGTTTAACCCTGCACTGCGGTTAAAATTCTCTGTGCCTGACAGATGATTGCACACAGCAGGGGTTGAAGGAGGGCCTCATCCTCCTTCCTGCCCAAAGAGGAAGATCTCCCCAAGTTGTTTAGCCACAGTTCAGGGTTCAGATGTAATGACAACCCATGACTGGAACATCCTGGAGTTCGCAATCCTACAGCAAACAATGGGTTCCATTTCTGGATTGTTCATTTGTTTAGCATGTTTGGTTTGCACTTCAAGACAGATCAGAGTTCAAGAAGCCACACCTTGGGTCAGTGCCATGTGTGAACCAGGCCATTTTTAGAAGGAGCCAGTGCCAACACAAATGTAAACCAGATGGTGCAGCAAGAGATGGTGACAACTTAGTGCACCTTGTTTTTCCTTGCCTTAGTGTCAAGGAGTGTCATCCAGAGGAGGTTGAAGATGATGGCACCAGTGGAGATGACGAGGAAGGGCCAGAGGAAGATGGGAGTCATGAAGAGCAAAGGGATATGCCTGCCAAAGAAGATGCTGGAAATAATGAAGAATTGCTTGAATTATCTTCTTCTTCTTCTTCGGGGGAGGAGGAGGAGGAGGAGGAGGAGGAGGAGGAGGATAGTAATAGTGGTGCTAAGAACAGAGTGGTATTTTTGGATGTGGCTCTGGAAAAATTCATGACCTCCTTGGACTTTAAGAATTGGAAGAAAATGTTGGAGGATATTAAACCCACCATTCACCCCACTGTCCTAGGGAGTCACAGGCGCTGAGCCTCACCCCATTCTGCAGCAAATAAGCAGCCCCAGTGCAGTTAGCTGGCCAACTTGAAGTGACGCCCTCTAGTGCTGACACTGGTTCCCCATCTCCCTCGTAACAGTTCTGCCAGGACCATTTTCTTTGCAAGGCACGGAGGGCATTGCATACCTGGAAGCTGTTTTTCTGCTTGTCCCCTGGAGCCAGCACCACCCACAGAATGCAATTCATTCTGTGCATCCCGAGTCTCTGGGTACTGGCCTGAAGGCACTGTGTTCTCTTAGCTGCAGTTTTTGACCACAAATAAAGATTGTATAAGCCAGCATTTCTCGAGTCCCTCTTCTCTTCTTGCCCAGAAGTGTGACTGTGACAAGTTGGTGCAAAAGGCAGCAAGGGCCTCTAGCGCTTTGCATGCCCAGAAGGGTCAGCACTCAGCAGTGATGCAAGCGGATACTGGCAAAAAAGTGGGGGGAGGAAAAACCCAGATGGCATTTCTGTGAGTGTTGATTTTTATTATGTGTATTGATGTATTATATATTGTTTCTATCGATGTGCTCTAATTGCTCCTGCTCAGTGCAGTGTAGGCTACCCAGACAGTCTCACCACTATGGGTGTGGCATGCAAGTATAACAAGCAGACATTGCTGTCCGCGGCCCTGCTTTCGCATTCTCCCCAAGGAGGTCAGGACATCAAGGCTCTTCTAGGTGCTCTATAAATGTGTTGGGCTATAACTCCCATCAGCTCCAGCAAGCACAGTCAGTGGTCAGGGATGCAGGGAGTTGTATTCCAAAGTATTTGGAGGGCACGCAGGTTAGGAGAGGCCGCCTTGAGGTCAACCAAGCTCCAGCCCAAATGCTTCAGAAAGCGCTCTTAAGGCTTTTTCTTTGCCCTCCTCACCAGCTGTTGGGGATCTGTTCATGGTGGCTTGGAATAACAAGTGTTGTCAGGGAGGGGAGGGGCTGAGGTTTGGGAAGGGTGGATTAACCAGATGTTGATAGAAGCAACAGACAAAGGTCACATCTCGGGTCATTCATTCATTCATTGGATTTCTAACCTGTCCCACTAACCACATGACTCTCTGGGTAGGTTACAGCAACAAAACTATAAATACAATATCAAAAATGATAAATCACAGTAAAATGTTAAAACCAACAGAACATGCCACTGACAGAACTAATAACTTCATTAAAAAGGCATACCTTTACTATACTATTGAACAGTAAGTATCTCTGTCTTATCTGGATTAAGTTTCTGTTTGTTAGTCCTCATCAAATCCATTATCAAGGGCAAACCCGATCCAGAATATCCACTGCCAATTTCTCTCATCCTAGCATGTTGTCTGCACCAGCCTATTATATAACTACTGCTTGGAAGAAGCGCAAATGGCTTCATCCGTCTGTACTACCTGGGAGTCTCCTTTGGTCTCACCTGCCTACCAGCCCACTGACCACCCACTCACCATCCTACAGCAGGACAATTGGAGAAGACCTGCTGGCCTCACAGTCCAGGGGCCTCTATCTATCTATTTAGAATTTTTGTATGCCGTCCCATTGCTTACAGCCTTGGGATGGCTCACATAAATAAACATGGTGCAAATATGGTATTCATGGGGCCTTCCCCCTGCAGGGGAGTAAACTCTGCCTGCTGGCTGGGAAACTTGATAGGGAAACCCTGGGCCATTAGGAATAAGAGCTGTACATGCACCATAAGCCCCTTTCTGATGAGGGTCATGTGGTCAGCCCAGCATGGAGGGCTGTAGGTGTGGGTGGCCATTTTAAATGTTCAAGCTCTAGCAGGGGGTTGTCATGCTTTGTCAGGCTGCACAAGCCTGGGCAGCAGGGATGTTTGAGAGTTAAACAATTCCAGATAACCCTCCAACAGCTCCCCTCACCCAGGTTTGGACAATGCAATAAGCCAAGGCCATGCCTTGAATAGGCAAGTTGTTGCCATGGGGGCCACAGCTTGTTGTGGCTTGCTTAAGCCACGATGGCCTACAGTGATCATGTGAACCAAGTCAATGCTGGCTGTAGTTAGCAGCAGCTGCAGCATCTGGGGCAAGGCTAGTAAAAAAATGCTCAATGGTTTCCCAAATTTTCATTTTCACCCACTGGAATAAAGTCAAGGTGGTGGGGAACATTCCAGATTTCCTTTTTTAAAAAAACTTTCCTGTCGGACTTCACATCTCAAAACAGAGTGTGCCCCATGGAGCTTCCATGGAAGAGAGTATTGCGGTTTCTTCAAGACCACAAAGAAGACTCTTGGGCATCCTAGTCAGTTTAGGCATAGTTGTGGACAAGATGTAGGCAAAGGCCCCTTTTCCATCCTCTGTTGTGGGGTGGAGGGATACTTTGCAGTACTTCATATTCCCAGGACGATATATGACTTTCTTTGCACCCTTGTGCCTTTGCTGGGTTGCACACACCATCACCCCTTTTAAGGGCCAGAGAGGTGTGCTTTTTAGAAAGCATGATTTTCTGAGACCATGGCAGCATTATGAAGAAAGGAGAAATTAGCTAATCATCTCCCTGACGCCCTGGCCAAAATCAGCCCTCTGGAGCTTTTATTTGCATTTCATTGGAAGCCCAGGTGGATGCTAGTGAGACCTAAATGCAAACAGCAACTCTAAAGAGGCCACTTTTGTCCCTGCTGGGGCAGGTGCAGAGAAGGCTTACACCTAGCTTGCCTCTCAAATGCATCTGTGGAAAGAGTACACCGGAGAGATGAGAAAAATGGTCACTAGGTGGCAGCACTGGTTTACATATTGAAGGATGTCCTAGGAATCTGAAAGGGGTGAAAATCCAATGAATTTCCACAATCCCCCCACCTTCTAGTTCATTACCCCGTGCTTTCACCAATGTGACTCTCTGTGCTGTGGTTCAAGCCAGCTCCCAAATTTCTGCCTATAGGACAGATTGCAATAAGAACTTTTCTTTTAAACAACTACTGGCATTTGCACAAATAAGCGGCCCCAAATCACATGGCTTTAATGTAATGTAATGTGCAGAATTAGCTGATTTTCATAAAACTGTAATGATAGTTTTTAAGTGTTTATTTACATAAGTTTTACTAGAAGTTATACAAGAACATTTTATTTGTTTGTTTGTTCCTTTTTTATACCATCCAATAGTCAAAACTATCTGGACAGTTAACAAGTTAAAAACAAAATCAAAACAAAAATTAAGGTATAAAACAATAAGACCATGGTAATTGCAGCCACAAATAGCAGTCCTTCTTAAAGAAGTCTGCAAAAAATGACTAAGCTTGAATTTGACCATGGATCAGAAGGGAACAGACAACCTATCAAGCTCAAATGATCTGGATTTCCTTGTCTTGGTTCCTCCACCCTAACTCGAAGTTTAACCCAACACCCAGGTATAATTCCCCTGTATTCAGACAACACACACAAAGGCAGCATTCAGGGTGTTCTTGTGTACTACACCTGCATTCTGCACAGTTGAGCATATTCCCAAGCACCTGGACATGCAGTTTTTCTTAAGACCAGTTCTAACTCCCAGGTATACCTCCTGTCTGTATATTCACACAACTTGAGAACACCCAGGAGTTTCTTGCTGACTGCTTGCTTTGCTTGCCCAAGCAAGGCTGATTCCAGGCCCCCAGACACACACAGGTTTCCCAACCCTAATTCTTGCCTGATGCTTAAGACCACCCAAACACCTATATATTTGGATAATATGCATACAGTTCTTGTTTCTAATTGTTCTTGTCAGTGACTTACCTTGTTTGCTCGATGAAAGCTAATTGCAGGTGCATGGACATGCATAGGAGCCCAGGTTTACCTTGTCTGAACCCTACCCTGCAGTTTAAACCCAGTGCTAACCCCAAGTATAATCCCTTTGCATCCAAACAACATGCACAAATGAAGCATAAATTCCTGTGACAATTCTGCTGTGGATTATGGCTTCCTGTCTAAAGCTGACCTGAATATTGTTGCTCTGGCCAGAACTCCAGTACTGATTGCTGCTTCTTGGCATCAGTGCAGCAGCAATGCTTTCGAGCGTCCCCTTGAGCACCGCCTCCCTGGGCAAGGTGCTGGAGAGGGTGGAAGCAGCCCCACCCAGGCAATCTTCCACAAGGCTGATCTTCCGGAACCATCTCAGTGGGGCTGCAGGCCTGGTTTTGGCCCAGAAACAGCCTTGGTTGCCCTGTGCGCTGGCCTCTGCTGGGAGAGAGACACGGGAAGTGTGGCCCTGTTGGTTTAACTAACAGTTAAAATACTCCGAAAATAAAAAAGTCATTTCCTGGTGCTGAAATGTATACAAAGAAAGAAGAGGTCTCTGATTTTTCCTCTTTTGCTGCTCTCTTCTATTACTTTGGACATTGTAAGAGACCTTTTTGTCTCCACATGGCTGTCACTGAAAAGCTGCATTCAGGATTCTGTCCCTATTTCGGTCACTTCTTGCTTTTGCTTCTCACCTGGCCGAGGCCATTCTGAACATTTCTTCTGCCACCCATTTAGACTTTTTCTTATTTCTGCAGGCATTGTCTCTTGGCATTCCTCCCGAATACATCTCAAGTTTCCATTTTGGATTGTTTCACCATAAGGATTTCAAGGTAAGAAGATTCAGAGGTGGTTTATCATTGCTGCCTTCTATGCAGTGCTTACCAGAGTTAGTTTGGGCTCCATGGCTGTGGTCTTCACAAGGTCCTCCACCCGTGTCACCTTCAACTCCCGCTGCTGCCCCGTAGCTGCCCTTCGGGAGCCTCTCTGCCTGCATCACCATTCAGGAGATCCATTCTCTTCTGCTGATGTGACAGTTACTCCCGAATTGGGTGGGTGCATCTTAGTCTGGTGCCTCAGCTTTGGCCATCCTGCCTTGGGCTACCCTGCCAGGAGACCGGCCTAGTGAGGGAGTCTGGCCTCCTGGCAGCATTGCTCCCAGCTTTTCTGGCACTCGCAAAGCCCCTCACCACACGAAGGTGTGCATCCCGGAGGAGGAGAAAGGGAGGCCAACAAGGTCACTGCGTCATTGGGTAACAGTAACATAATCTGGTTTTTGTCTAAAGAGTGACTGCTTGACTAGTGTCAGTCATTTTTGAGAAGAGACCTATTGTGGAAGAAACCTCAGTGACAGAGAGAAATCCAAGTGAGCTCATGGTTTTTGGATGAGTCACGGCTTCCTCTGACAAATTTTTCCATATCATCTGATCAGCAAGTTATCTGCAGCTTAAAAATAGTAAGGGTAACAGACTTCGGGCATCAGAGACATTGAGAAACATTGGTTGCTATGAAGCAACTGGACAAGAAACCAGTTTAAAGATAGGAAAAGGGAAGTAATCTCAGATCTAGTCCTGAACTGTTGCCCTTGATACATTTATTTATTATATTTACATCCCTCCTTTTTTCCTATCAAGGAACCCAAGGCAGCTAACATAATTTCCTTCCCCTCTCAATCTTATCCCTACAACAACAACCCTGGGAGGTAGGCTGGGAGGCAGTGACTGGCCCAAAGTCACACACCTGGCTCCAGGTTACCTGAGTCCCCAGCCTCTCTCTGAACCACTGCACCAGGCTGGCTCTCAGTGTGCCTGAAATATTGTGCTTTTAAAAAATCACATTTTGCATCAACTTTCAGATTCTGCAAGTAGAACTCTGCAAATCGTGGCGTTTTGATCCTCCAGGGAGGAGGAATTTCATTCCACACCCTCAGAACAATTCAACCTCATTTGGCATAGAGCTGGAATTCGGAGCAGGGCCCGCAAAGAAGCGGGAAGCTGGCATCACAATGTTTGTATCTCACCTTTCCATCACAAGAGACACCCCAAAGAGTCAACAACAGTCTTCACAGAGCAACTTGCACTATCATAAAGCAGGAAGAATCACTATACCAGCAAAAACAGGAAATCCATAGCACCTGAACATAAGCCAACGGCTAGTGTGTGCTGTCCCATAAATATTCCTGAAAAGTGATGTTTTCCTTCTCCAACAGAAGGCCAAGAGTAATAGGCCAGACAGGCTTTCCCCAGGAATAGCTTCACACACGAAGGCTGCAACAGCTTCAAAGGGCCAACATCATTGCTTGCTTTCATGCCTCACACAGTCATTATATTTTGGCCCTGAGTGTTAATCTAAGCTGGCGCACAGCTGGGTTTTTATGGGGGGAGACAACCTTTCAGGCAACCAGTTCCCAGGCCCTTTAGGACTTTAACACTATCAGCCAGACTTTGAGTTAGGCATAGAAATAAACTGGCCACCAATCAAGGAAGGTGAGATGACTTTGGTGCTGGACACCTGTGTGTGCAAAGCTACCCTGGTCGAAGGGGAAACCTCGATTTTATTTATTTATTTATTTATTTATTTATTTATTTATTAAAACACTTCTATGCTGTCCCATTCGCCGAAGCCTCGGGGCAGCTCACAACATAAAGTTAAAATATAAAATAAGTAACAATATAAAATAAGTCGCCCTGGCCAGATAAAATAAGCAAATACTATTAACAATTAAAATGACGCTTAAATAAAAAGGTCTTCGCCTGGCGCCGAAAAACAAATAGATTTTATTCCAATATTGCAGGGATAAGCAGCTTGTGTTGCCAGAGGTGATTAGACCTATAATCCCCATCAGTCCTGGCCAGCATAGCCAGTGACGGGGATGATGGGAGGTGTAGGTCAAAACATACCTTCAACAGTGTCGTCTACCATGACCGACACCAGGACTGAAAGATATACTGCTGCCTGAGATTTTTAAAAGTGGAGATGGAAGGGCACGAACTTCTCCATTCAAAGCATGGTTTCTACCACTGATCTCCAGGTTCCTTCCCCAGAAGTTGGCTACTCTGACCAGTTCTGTTTGATATATCCGGCAACGTGGAAGGACTTCTAGTTTCCAGGCACTTGTTAAAACCTGCTCCAACAACACTCTGAACCAGCCAAAAAAGCCCGTTGAAGAAAAGCCTTCCCCTTTTTGTTCCATCCGTCCCAGTGGGAGGAAAAATTGATATGCCAGCTCTCGCAGCCCTGGAGACTTGTGGGGACAGGATGGCATTGGATCCTGTTGGCACTGGAGGAGCAAGTCCAAAGCTGTCCCTTTTTGCCATGGCTACCATCAGGGTCCTGGCAGGAGAGCAGTGAGGGCAGCAAAGGGGCGCAGATGTACCCAGGAAGGGGAGATTCGTGAGGAAAGCCCTTGCACTCTGCATGCAAAGAGGGAGATTCATTATGCCGTGTGACCTCTTGGATGCCCCTTCTTGGACCCCGAGATTGCAGCTTTAGAAATATACTTCACTGAATATAAATACGAATATTCCATTAAGTATTCTTAATGAGATGATGTATTTCATAGGCAGACTGTTTCCAGGCGGGCAGCTCCTAGCGCAAAAAATCAGAGAGCATCGGGAACTTGCTGTGTCCATTCCTCCTTAGCTGCATTGTTGCTGCTGATTCACGGTAAGAAAAATGGTGGAAGCAGCCATGGAAAAGCATGGGAGGAGCTGCGTGCAAACTCCGGTGAGGCACGGCAAGTGCAGGGAGCAAGGATCATCACCTGATGCAGCCGCAGCCACAGATCCGGTTCTGGGCAAGGGTACTCCTACATACAGCATCACCTTGTGCAACTTGAAACGCCGCCATCATGTGAGGGTTAGCTATTGTCACGAAAAAACAAAACCACATCTCCACTGACTCATCAGCAGCTGACTTGTTTTTTTTGCAATTTACTTCCAGTTTTCAGCAGATGCACCCATTCTTTTAATTTTCGCGTGCAATGTTTCTCCTTCGTGGTTTGTGGCATGATGTTCTGGTATCTCTGATCTCGCACTCTTTCCCCCCAACCTCGTGTCATACAGAAATCAGCCCTGCCAGTTTTGAAACTGCAACTGCGACAAACCTCTTGGCAGGGAATGAAAGGTGCAGAGTAAGGACACTATCAGCTACTCATGTAGAAAAGCACTTCATTATTCAGGGAGTCAGCCCATGGCCTTGTACTGCCCCAGGCAAAGAGCACATGTGAATGTGCAAGAACTGACGGGATAGGGGGTTGAGTCTCTCTTCAGAAGCTACTACGGGACGGCATTCTTCACAACACCTGCACTCAGCACTCGGGGGACCCTTCACAGACTGCTCCCTCCTCCAGCAACTTGCTGCTGCTTCCCAGCATCTGCTGCCTGAGGTACCCATCTCACTTCAGCTGGTGGTAGGGCTGTTGCTGGTCATCCTTCTTTTTAAAAAGGTGTGCTTTGGCCAACCACTTCTGCCCTGAAGGAAAAATAGCCCACAGGTTGCAGTCCTGAATGTGCTTCCGGCTTGGCTTAGGGCCCTGAAGCACTAATTTCTGGCTGAAAGTGCTCTCTATGCTCAAAGATGCTGCTTGGAGTAAACAGCACTTACCGGGGCAATTTTGCATAGCTGACTTGTGATCTCATACCTTTTCCTGAAGGGGGCGGGGGAATCCACCTCAGAGATGCTGAGAAAATTCCAAAGGGTAGAAGCAAAAAGGATGTCCTTCTTTTTATCCAAACAAAACAGAGACAATGAAAGCTTTGAAACAATTAGATTAGGATTTGAGGAAAGCAGAAACATAGAAACAGAGCAAGTCAGAAGGAGCCTCCTGGGCCATCTAGTCTGACCCCCGGCTGCAGCCAGCTCTGCTCATGACATGCCCACCATGTGCATATCCAGCCTATCCTTGAACACCCTCACAGATGGGGCCTCACCCACCTCCGTGGAAGCCCATTCCACACCCTCAGGGTCCTAACCATTAGGAAGTACTTCCTGGCATATGTGAATGTATGCATCTAGATGCATATTTAGAAGTAATTAGACCCAAAGCAGAAATGCGGTGCATCTCACTATAGTGTAGGAACCTGTGACTTTGTTGCCTTCCTGTTCAGCCCACCGTTCAGGTCTGGGGTTCCCAATGGGGAGCCTAAGGGGACTCCCAAGAACACCTACAAACCGCTCCCCGCTTTCAGCCTTCAAAATAAAACCTTGAAAACTATTGGGGCAGTATTCTTTCTCTCCCTTACTAGCTTCCCATTTTGTTCCCTGACTCCCCTCTCCCTCTTCTTCTTACGGCTTCCCCTTCCTCCCACACTCACCCCCCCACCCCCCCACCGCCACCACTTTAATGCATGGTTGACTGGCCAGGCCCCACAGCAGTTCCTTTTGTGAATCCCAATCCCTCTGTGGGAGCCACTTCAAGCCCGTGCCCACCCAAATCCCTCATGTTTCCCACGGTTCTGAAAAGTTTGAGGTGCTACCGGGGGGGGGGGTGCTTGCCTGACCTCCCCCTGCTGAGAGTCCCTCTCATGAGATTCCAGCATGCAAGCCAGACCTTGATTACTGGCCCCTGTGTGCTGGTTCCTCCAAATTATTCTGGAGGAATAATAACCTGCCCAGCTGGATTTAGTTCCACTTTCAGAAGGCAATTCCAAGGAGAACGTTTTGGAGACAATCTCATGGCTGGGTTCAGGTTTCTTCAGTTTACCTTACTCTGGAGGTGGCCAAGGCATGTCAGTCATTGCTCTGGCAGTCTGAGGCCTCCTCGGGTTTCCATAAAATCTCAGAAGAAGACATCACAAGGTAATTTCTCCTCTTGTATGTTTCAGATAAGGAAATGGAGGCCACATGAGGGTTGCAGAGCAAAGCAGGGGAGTGGAAGGGAAAGAAGGCAGCCACACCACACCCTTGGCTGCCTCGTGCTGAGTGGGTCCTCTCCAAACACCACCAGCACAAACTATAGCAAGTTCTGCAAAATGATGCAGAACAATGGAAGTCTCTTTCACGGGAGGGGGAAAAATCTTTCCAGAAATTAGAGGACAAGTTTAGGTACAGCTTTACCTCCAGCTCTTCTCTGAAGATCCTGTTCCCCTCACACCTGTATTGTCTGGATGCGAAGTGGGGCCCAGGTTGCTAACACGGGGATGCTGTGACCACTTGCAGTGGTAGTACACAACAGCGGCAAGAAAAATGCAAGGAACTGTGTGCCATAACCCCTGCCAATGGCGATCCCTCCCTCCAAGAAACTGTCGGAGAATCTCTCCCTCTGGAAATATTCCATGAAATTCTCCCCAAATTTCTCTACCTTTTGTCCTTTGCTTTGGGAGATGGGTAAGTGGTCACCTAGTCCAGCATCATCTGGAGGGCCAGGGATGCTTCACCACTGGATTAAATATAGGTGGAATATAATTGTTCTGGAGCACTACCAGTGTGAGATCCACACGATTCTGTAAATAAATACTTCAAAACAATCTTGGGAGCTTGGGCCTCAGGGAGCAGCATTTGCAGAAAACCACCACCATCTCCACTGCAATTCTCTACTGACAAAGAAATGGTGCTCTATGTGATCTTACAGTAAATGAAAGGTACTCGGTTTACAGAAATCATATGCATTTTTCTGTAGAAATATTTAACTCGCATACACTTGTAATGACGCTCAGTAGAAAAGGAAAACCACAACTGAATATAGATTTGAAGCTGTGTTTCCTTAGCCACTCAGAAGCTAAGGAAACACAATCTGATTATTCAACACTGCCAGAGCATCAGTAGAAGAAACAGGAGAAATGCAAGGCCATTTTCTTCCTGTTGGCTTTCTTCACTGTCCAGCTTTCACACCCATAAACAGTGATCCAACAATTCCAACCAGGGAAAAGGATCAACGACACCAGAGGAAGCCCATGTAGCTTCAGAAAAAGTTTGGAAATGATCTGAAAACAAGGAAGTGAAGGGAGGCCAGGCTCCAAAGGAAGGATACAAGCTGGTAGCACAGAACTGCAGGGAAGGCGTCAGGAAGGCTAAAGCTAGGAATCAGCTGAGACTAGTGAGGGACGCTAAAAGCAACAAAAAAAGTCTTCTTCAGAAATGTCCAAAGCAAAAGACTGAGGAAGGAAACGGAGGTTCAACTACTTCGTGTGGATGACAAAATGATAAAAGATTACAGAGGAAAGATAGAAGTGCTCAACTCCTACTTCGGCTCTGTCTTCTCCCAAAAGAAGAGCTATGACCTAGGGCAGGGGTCAGCAACCTGTGGCTCCAGAGCCGCATGTGGCTCTTTCATCCCTCTGCTGTGGCTCCCTGTCACCCAAAATATGTGTCACAACCGCCAATGTGTGACACCCACTGACACACGATTTATTGAATTTTTCGACCCCCAGTAGGCCAACCATGGATAAATCCAAGAAAAGAAAAGTTTCAGAAGAAAACTGAATGTCAGGAAGTGCTTCCTGGCATCCAAATGGAACCTTGGCTCCCTGAGCTTTGCTCCATTGGAGCACGTCCTGCCTTCCTCTGCAGGGGAGAACAGGTCTCTACCCACCTCCGTGTGACATCCCCTCACATACCTGTATGTCGCCAACAGATCCCCTCTGAGTCTCCTCTTCTCCAGGCTGTTCTTCTGCAGTAGATAGAGAAGCAGAATCTCTCCTAAGATCCTGAACATTCTTTCTGAGATCTTTCAGCAAAACCATGCATTTGCACTTTCTAAGATGTTCCATTTTTAGTTCATTTTGGCACAGAAATCGCTTTTCCTTTACGAAACTAGTTTTCAGACAACATGGGGCCACTTGTTAAACTAATTTTTAATGATTCAAAACTGATTTTAAAATAACACTTCCTAGAAAGCAGGTGTTACAAAACTGCATTTAGTTCCCCAAAATCAATGGCAATCAATGCCCCCTGGGTTAATGAGTTCCAGTGGCTTGTTAGAAGGACCCTTACCTTTCAATGGCCACCCTTTCGATTCATTTTCGAATGCTGTAGGCAGGGCATAGCCTTTCCCTGGTTGTTTAGTAGCAGCAGCAGCAGCAGCAACTTGACTCCTCAAGTCACAGACACATCTGCCCTAAAATTGTACTGCTGGAATTAAATGAAGAATACTTGGTATAAGAACCAGGACTCTGCTTTTAAACGGAAAGACTCATTCCTCAGAGTTGAAACTAAGTCCTGGGCTTACGACATTTTCATTATATGTGTGCATCTTTTGGACCATTTTGGTAGATTTCAGAGTTCAGAGTAAAGAGCAGAGCAGATCCAACAAGATTGTGAATCTTTGATCTGGTGGTGGTTATTCTTGTGGTCAAGTTGTCTCTGACTTATGGTCTCACTATGAGTGAAGGCCCTCCAAATTTGCTCTCCTTGACAACGCTGCTCAGCTCATGTAATCATCCTTGGTCTGTAGCAGCTAGCTTGTATGTTTTTATTCTTTTAACTGTTTTAATTTTTTATTATGTGAGTTGCCTAGGGAGGCAATTTTGGCTGTTACAGGCGGCATGTAAATATATGGATTAAATAGAGAGAGAATGAGAGAGAGAGCATGAGAATCTGTTAGAAATTTCTCCTCCCTCTGGAGAAATTCAGTGACATTGTCTCTGTATTACTCCACTCAGGAAAAGGGTGGAGAATTCCAAGAGGCTATTTGCATGCAGTTCTAAGCAGAAGCCCCATCATCCCTTCCTCATTCGCATCAGTGACTCATAAATGCCACTGGCCTTCCAGAGACAGTCCACTCGCCCACTGATGCAGAACTCCTCTCTCGTTTGACTCTCAGCCTTGTACTAGGAGGACCAACTTCACGGAACAAATTGTGGCAGCTGCCAGAATGGACTCTGTGCTGCACAAGATGTTCGACAGGAGACATTTACGTGGCTTCTCAATCTTCTTGTTAGCTGCTCATCTCGTCCTCACAAATGCTTGTAAAAACACAAGTGAGTACTGATTTTATTTTTAAAGTTTTTGAAGCCACCTTTAAGGAGAGAACCTCTCCAGTTGGGATTTGAAAGCAGTGCATGAAATGTAGAGTTTCTGAAAATGAAAACAAAGCAAACTAAACATGAGGTTCAACTGGATTCCTTTCCTGAGTTCAGAAAAATGTTGCCTTCTGCCCATCTCGCTCAGAATAATCTCTCCTGGGTAATGGCCTTTCCAATTACCTGCGCCCTGATCTGTTTAACTCGTTGTGCCAAGGATCAAATCTGGGACCCTGGGTGCTTCCTCATTGAGCCATGGTCCCTCCCTAAGTCTAGAGAGGGCATCATAGGATTGAAAGGGACCTTGGAGGTCACCTAGTCCAATCCCCCACATGATGCTGCATCTGCTATGCAGGATGGACCTGGGGCGTCCTTGAGCAATGGCTGACCAGCTTGTACCTTCAGTGAAGGAAACTTGCCAGGTCAAGGCTCGCTCTCTCTCTCCCTCTCTCTCTCTCACACACAAACACACAGCAGCAGCAGCAGCAGCAGCAGCAGCAGCAGCAGCACACACATAAGCACACATCACTCTGGCAGATCTGGCTCCTTCCCTAGCCTGATAATTGCATGAAGTTGGAGCCCCATTTATCAGACTGCAGTTGGATGCTTCAATCTGTGCCCTCAATTTTGGGTGTGTGCGCATGTGTGTCTTTGCTCACTCCTCCCTCTCACTATTTGGTCAGGGTTGCTTGCTTTTCTTATTCTTCTTGATTTTTAGTTTTTAGAAGGTGCTTTTTTAAAGTGTGTTGGTTTTATTGGTTTGGGGCCTTTTCATTTGTTTCATTTTGTTTGCTTTTCTTGTGTTAGATCTGATGAGCAGCACCTTGAGTGCCTCACACTGGTGCTGAAAGATGGACTTAAAACAGAATTAGGGCACAATCCTATGCATGGTGAAGTAGGAAAATTCCTGGCTGAGCAATGCTGGGAATAGTAGGACTTTTTCTGCATAAATGTGGATTTGCCTTGGATTGCACCCTGAAGTGTAATTAATAGAAGATAAATGCTGGCATCTGGACCTTGAATATCCTGCTCCCAGTGACTCACTTAGCATATCCCTGTCCCTTTATAGTGCACTTAGAAGCCCAAAGGACCCCCTCCTTCTGAGGGTTCGGGTGATCAAGGGGCTGGAACAACTCCCCTATGAGGACAGCGACCTTTGGGGCTGCTTGCTTGGGAGGGGGAGGCAAGTAGGGGCAGGAATATCTTACTCTACAGACAGCCGTTGCTTTTGCAAGGATGGGGATCGCCCTCCATAGCTCTAAATGCCCACATGCAGCATGCATTCTTCTATGGGTTAAGCACCTTTGCATCCCTGTGATGGCTTGACACTGAACCTCTTCTTGTTCCCATCCCTGACAGGAAGCGATTGCTCTGTCATCTCCGTATCTGTGCAGGAAGGGAGCTCACTGGACGTGCCGCTTAATACTTCTGATACTATCCTTGACGTCTGTGTCTGGAATAGCTCGACTTCCAGGTGGGAAAATGCCTGCCACTTTTCTGGTCAAGTCTGCAAACCACTCCTGCCTTACTTCAAGGAGCACATCTCACTTGCAAAGGAAAACTTTGTGCTGCAGAGCGCGAGCAGAGATTCTGGGAGGATCTACGAGCTCCTGGACACTTCTGGGAAATGTGTGGCCTCAATAAATGTCTCTGTGTCAGGTGAGTTTGTCCGTGCTGAATCTGTGCTAATTGATCCACAGCAACACCTGTTGGCAGTCTTACCATCTCAACCAACAGACAGAGTTAGAAAATGGCAAACAGTGCAGAAAAACAGCTGGGAGAAAATTTTGAGGCTTTAATCAGCGTCAAAGAGATTAAATCATTTCATCATCATGATGCACTGAGTTGAAAAGATGAACTCCTGCCAAAGGAAATCCTTGGCCTGGATAAGACATTGGTGTCAAATGAAAACCTTGGGGACCAGGGAGGAATATAAAGAGTGCTTAAAGAAGAGGGATAAATAGGAGAAATAAAGCAAAATAAGAAGCAAGAAGCTGAACTAGCATGTGAGGACAGAAGGGGAGGGCGGATGGGAAATATGGCTGAACTAAGTGCACTGCACTTTTCCAGCAGCGCGCTGCTCCAGGGGCACCCCTTGCCCTGGGTTGGTTCCCTTTGGCAGGAGGTTGCGGGAAGCTTCGTGGCAGCCTGCAAGCCAGAGAAGAGCTTCGTGTGCCAACCAGTGGCCAAAGCCCGCTGGGCCCATAGCAGGTCTCCAGGGGGAAAGCCTCACTGCAAACGCTGTTTGCATTCAACACCGAGCGCTGCAGCTGTGGCACCAGAGTCTCTTTCCAGTGGGCTTCAGATGAGGCTTTTCTCCTGAATTCATCCTACATTTTGAGTATATGTTGGGCGGGGGGGGGGGGGGGGCACACATATGCTTCCCATCTGTAACTTTCCAGTGCTTTCCCACGGTTTCTTCCATGTTTTATTCTTATCGGGAAAAACATATTCAGGAGTAGCCACACAATGTATCTTGATTTGTGGCCCCAGGAGACCCCTAGCTGGAAGCATTCTGACGCAAAACTGCAGTGGATTATTCTCTACTCACAGTGATGAGGGCTGAATGCAGAAAAAAGATGATGCTTTTAATTGCTGAAAGGGGAAAACTTATTTTGCTTCTCTCTTCAGATCTAGAATACCCATTTCTTCATTTTGCTGGGTGTGGGACACTTTTTGCCCAGCAAGATCCTCTTTGTGACGCGACAACATTGTTATGACGCTATCGAGGCACGGCTGTGGCTCGTGCCATTGCAGTGTAAGACGAGCCATCCCCGCCGCTTCCTAGAAATGACATTTATTTGAAGAACAGAAACACTGCGGGGAAATGAATGACTTCGGCCCTCTAGTGGTGGCGCTCACTTTCCCCCTGATTCCACCCCTCCCCATACACCCTCCCAAGCCCATCTTGCCCATGAAGCCTTTCACTGACACTCACACACACACTTTCTCTTTCCTATTCGGGGAATGATCGGAAGCAGGGATGAACTGGCTTGTAAATCCACTCCAGATCTTCAGGCATCTTTCATTCCACTGATGGAATGTGATTTTTCACAATTGATTTGAAAAGCATGTGCAGAGTCTCATTTCGAATAATGCACAGATCCTCCCCTGCAAATACGTGAATCCTCCAAAATGCTCATTCTCACACTTTAATCCATGAGGGGATGTGCATTCTTGTCAGCTTTTTATTTTTCCTAATTTTCAGTCTGTAAATTTATGGAAATTTGCAGTAGTCTGCAAGTCTGCAGAATGCATAAGATTCTGGAAACATCGCGGCCTGGAGCATGGCGATTTCCCCTACATCACTAATCACAGGTCCAAGTGAATACATGGCTGTCCCTGTTCATATTCACCCCATTGTCCCCTCACTCTTCTTTACCTTAGTCCCTTCCTTTTTGGAATTTGGGGCAGGAATACTTTAGTATAATTTCTAGAGGGTTGCCTGGATGAGTCTGTTGCAGCAAAACCAAGAGCCTTGTGGCACATTTAAGGCTAACACACTTATTGTGGTTTTCTGCGATGGTTTCCTAATTTTTAGACTCTGACTCTCATCATGCCTGACCATTGGTTATGCTGTCTGGGGCTGATGGGATTTATAGTCCAAACCGTCTGAAGGGCACTAGGTTGGGGAAGAGTGGATTATGCCATAATAAACTTTAAGATGCCACAAGATCACAGAGTCATAGAATAGCAGAGCTGGAAGGGTCCATGAAGGCCATTGAGTCCAACCCCCTGCTGTTGCAAGACACCACGTTACACCATCCCTCTCAGATGGGTGTCCAGTTTCTTTTTGAAGGTGTCCAGTGTGGGAGAGCCCACCACCTCTCCAGGCAGCTGGCTCCACTGTCGTGTTGCTCTGACAGTAAGGAAGCTTTTCCTAATGTCCAGCCTGAATCTGGGTTGTCACAACTTGAACTGATTATTCCAAGTCCTACACTCTGGTATCAACAAGAAGAGATCTTGACCTTCCTCTTTGTGACAGCCTTTGAAGTACTTATAGAGGGATACCCTCACTCTTCTCTTCTCTTCTCAAGGCTGAACATACCGTTCCCTCAGTCTCTCCTCATAGCCCTTATCCAGTTGTCTGGCACTTCTCCAGTTTTCCAAGATTTATTGAAGATAATAGCCAGAGTTCCTCCGCTAGTTCTTTTATGACTCTAGCATGGAGTTCCCAGAGCATCCCTTGCTATTCTTACTTCATTTCCTGCTTTAGCCTTCCTGATGCAATTCCTGCAATTCCTTGCTGTTTGTTTATGTTCTTCTTCCAGGGCCCGGCCCTGCTTCCACTTCCTGTACATGTTCTTTTTTTCTTTCAGGCTGCCACTTAAACTTGTGTGGAGCCACGTGGGCTTCCTCTGCTGTCTTACATACTTTTTTTCTTGATGGAATTGTTCGTAGTTGTGCTTCAAGAACCTTCTTTTTCAAGATTTCCCATCCCTCTTGGACACCTTTCCCCTTAAGGATGTGTTGCCATGGCACTTCACTCATCAGTTGTCGTAGCTTTTTTCATATGCCACTCAGCAAAGTACCAGATAGATTGATGGTGGCACCAGTACAAAACCCTGAGTTAATTCCACTGAGATTCCATGGCTTACACTCCACTCCATGCATTGACTAAAGTCCAAAAAGCTGGGAATACAATAACGGTTTTGGCTACCTCCCCTGGAGGGTCAGACAGAGCCAGAAAACATTCAAAAAACCCAATGGAATGAAGAGACCAAGAGTCAGGATGTTGAAGCTAAAACTCTATGTGTGCATTCTTGGAAGTAGCCAAACATGTTTCAGCCCTACATCATGCATATTAACTTTCTTCTGGGATCAAACTTTCTAAACATTGCCTGCAGGAATATCCGGGAAGATAGGCTTCCAACATAAATCCTACAGGTGCTTTTCCAACATTTGGGAACTTTGTCTCCTCCTTCCACTGGGGGACATTTCCTCTGGAGATCTGACACTGAAGGAGTGGGCTTTAACCGTCAGCTGGCATGCTTATGCCAGGGAGAGCAGAAGCTCAACCCAAAACCAAGTCTAGCGCTTTTGGGGTCTTACTCTCCCCATCTCAAGGAGGCTTTGTGTAGGCTTTTCTCCCATTCTAAAAATGGGGAATGGTTCCCCTGAGCATCAGCTCCTGGCAGTAAAAGCTTTGAGCTCCAATAGGATACTTGGGATACCTGGGGCACCACCTCTGGCCCTGCTGACCACTGGAATGCGAGCCCCCGAGGGCATCTCCGAAAAGGAGGTTGGCCCCTGTGCTGAAAGCAGTTCACTGCCCGATTGAAGCTGCTTCTCCTCCTACTCTTAAAGTGTGTGTCTGTAAATTAGCATGAATGTTACAGAACACCAATAAACCTCCAGCATCCCCCTTGCAAGAAAGCCAAACCCAAGAAAGCACTGCTGGGACATGGGAACGTCACACCACTGCGGAGTGCAGAGTCAGGCCTACCAAGGAATTCCTGTCTATCTCAACCCTGAGCCAAGCTTAACTTGCCAATTTCTGCAGAATGAGCTGCTTTAAAGGAACAGGCAGCTTTGCCGGTCATTCAGCAGCGCAGCACCCACTCAATTCTTCCTTCTCCTTCCTTCCAGATCCAGGAGTTACGACATACCCACCAACATCTTTACCTCCAGGAACCAAAAGTCCAAGTAAGTAGTGGAGGGTGCAGCTGAGCAAGAGAAAGTACAGGGGCTGGGTTTGTACCCAGCTGCAAAGTGCATGTGAACCTCCATCAGTTCTGAGAGATGCATATGTGTTTCAGGGATGGTGTCTCTCTCTCTCTCTCTCCCCTGCCTTCTGAAAGTGCAAGACGTGGTTTTGCTTAATACATTTATATCCCTGTGCGCCTCTGAGGAGCGCAAGGGGCTGAGTAAAGTTCTCCCCAGCCAATGTATCCTCATGACAGCCTGCAAACTGTGGCAGAGACTGACCCAAAGGCATGTGATATGATCAGAGGTTTTAGCCCTGCTCTCCCTGCTCTTGGTCGGACCATTACAGGTCTCCTTCATGTACCTGAAACTGAAAACGTCCATGGTCACACCTTCATGAAAGATGCTTTGCATCTGTATCGTGCACTCTCATGTTTGTACCTCAGTGCAAAATATCTAAAATAGTGTTACCAACCAGGTGCCTCCCAGACGGCTTTTCTCTCCAACTCTCATCAGCCCCAGCCAGCACAGCCAATGCTCAGGGGACTGTGGCACTTGTAGATGAAAACATCTGGAGGGCACTGGCTGGAAAACCCGCTCTTGCCCCTCACATTCAGATGGGCCACTGTTTCTCGGATGGACGTCTACAGCGGGAGCATCTGCTTTGACCGGAAGAGGGCTGTTCCGAAGGGGCAGCCGGGAACCCCTCAGATGCAGGATTCCCCGCCTTAGCTCTCGAGAGTTACCCTCAGGTGGCAGGACAGCCTGTGGGGCCTGTTGCCTCACTGCCTGGGAAAGGCTTGCAGCACAAGAAACGGCCCATGGGGCCGCGTCCCCCTGCACTCCATGCAGCCCAGCGGCATGGGGTTGGACAGGGCAGGGGGCTGAACAGAGAGTTCTTGGGAATGAGGAGCCAAGGGGGCAGGATCGTATCCCACGGAAGGGAAAGCGCACCAGAGTGTCGAAGCCTTGCAGTACAATTGCTGGCAAGGGAGCTGCACAACCTGCAGCAACTAAGAAAAAAAACGACTAGTTTGCCATCTCAGCATGCTCCAAAGCTTCCTGAATAGCACAGGACTGCCTCCCAACCAGGACACTGGAAACCTGAAGGAAAAACCTCTGTTCTGGGTGCCAGCCAACCTGGCTAAGACACCCCCTAACCTCTCCCCTGCCCAAGCATCATCTGCCTGCGGCAGCCGCCTCACTTTGTCTGGCAGTAGGGCTGGCCTTGATCAGCTTGTCATGCCCACTGAGCATGCTCAGTCCTCACTGGGGAGGGGGAGGCTCCCAGCCTGCCATGCCCACTGAGCATGCTCAGTCCTCACTGGGGTAGGGGGAGGCTCCTGTGACAGGTCTCCTCATAAGATGCTGCTGTTTTCTGTCAAGCTTTTTGCACTTCTGGGAATTTGGGCTTCCCTTCAAGCTGGACAGTATCACACCCTGTTCTTAATGGGAGAATGATTTCACAGAAGGATAAATATCCAAATTATTGGAAAGAATGTCCATGTTTTTTCTTTTTGCCCCCTGCAGGTAATGTGATTGAGCACAACTATCTTAGCACTACTATATTAGTTGCAGTGTTGATTTCTTTTCTAATTTTAATGGTAATAAGTTATTTCATCTATAAAAGACGCAATAGCCAAAGACGGCAAGAAGGACCATCCGGAGGTCTGGAGTTACAAAATACAAGGCAAAACCCCACTGGAGCGCCTTCTTAACAGGGAGAGACCCGCGAGAAGTGACGGATGGACAGCAGGCGACTGTGCCCCCATGCCCACTTCCTTGCCCAGAGTCCTTCTCAGTCCAGCTAATGCCCACAATCCTGCCTGCCTGGATGAGGGCCGAGTGAGGCTTTGCTAAATGCCCCTGAGCACCCCCAAAAGGAACGGGATGCCCAGACTAGGAGCATTGTCAGGCCAGACGGGGACACCTCCCCCCGCCCCACTGCTGCAGCTTTTGGACTCCCTGTAAGCCTTTGTCTCCTTGTAAGTAAACCCTGGAGCTGGCATAAACAGCTCCTTGGGATCAGAAAAACCTTTCGCCTCTGGCCAGGGCGAATACACCCAGTTTCACTCATCTTTGCTGTGGTAATTGCTGAGTTAGATTGCTGCAATGCAGTGTAATGGGGCTGCCCTTGAAGACTGCTCAGAAGCTGCAGCTCGTGCAAACAATGGCAGCCAGACTAACAACAGGAACAACGAGTCTGAACTTACAGGACTAATTCTGGTCTGCTTGCTTTGTTTGCCTGTATGCTTCTAGGCTCCATTCGAGTGGCTGGATTGGGACAGCAATGCTTGATGCAGCCCCCCTCCCAACCACAATCTCTCTGGACAATGTAATGACAGCTGAGGCCTCTGGGTGCCAACTCCAAGGGAGGCTTCAGGAGTGGCAGCCAAGGGGAGGGTCGTTTCAGTACTGGCGGTCCCCAAGTTACAGATGTCCAAGTTATGAACAACCAGTTCTTACGAACGGACTGCCATAATGCCTATTACAGTGATACCTTGGCTGACGAACTAAATCCATTCCACGACTCTGGTCGCAACCCAAATTGGTCGTGAGCCAAGTCAAATTTCCCCGTAAGGTTCAATGTAAATAAGGTTAATCTGTTTGGAACTACTTTTTTAATCACAAAAATCTGAAGCAAAGTGACAAAGAACAACAAAGATCGCGGCCATCTCCCCTGCCCCCCAGAGCACGAGTGCAGCCATCTCCCCACTCCCAAGTGCAGCCGCGATCACACCTGTGTTCCCAGTACGAGCGCGACTGCGGTCATGGACGGGTGCAATTGCGGTTGCGCTCGGGCAGGGAAGATGGGCGCAATCGCGGCCTTCACCTGATACAGAGTTCGCATCTTGAGGCAATTTTTTTCTGAAATTGCTCTTCATGACCCCATTTGGTCATGAACTGAGGCATTCGTGGAACAAGGTACTACTGTCATTTTAAAAAATTACTTCAGAAAATCATCACCATCATAGAGACAGAGGAAGCAAAACGGGAGAGAGGGAAGCCACTGCTGTGGTGAAGAGGAAGGGTAGAGAGGGAGGCCTCCAAGGCATGCCCGACCCATCTAGAGAGGAAAATCTCTCCAGCATTTTCTTGTTGCAAAGAGGAGGCACTGCTGAATTTGGGAGTGGGGGGGGGGGGCTGGTCCTGGAGATAGCCATCATTTTTCCTGCACCCCTAATCCCTGTGAATGAGGTCGAATACACGTGATCCGGCTTGCACACAAATTTGACTTGAAGACGAACTTCCATTTTCTCAGGTATGGCACTCACCTAACCGTAGTGGTGGCCTGACTGTGGAATGATTTCCCCTCTGAGCCCCACCTGGCACCAAGAATGCTTCTCTGCCGAGGCATTCAATAAGAACCTTTAATGGCTCGATGAGTGCATCCATGTTGGGTGCTTTTAACAGGCTATTTGTATCGAATATTGCTTTTGCTATTACATTGTCTTTAAAGTCTGTATGTTGGAAAATGTTTATCCTGCTTAATTGTGTTATGGTTCTGTTCTAGGAATTGTTGTAAACTACCCCAAAACTTTTTTGCATTAAAGGAATGAATTAATGGATGAATGCTCGAAAACTCTTGCTCTCATATTCTACTACGCCTTCTATATAGAAACTAAGACAACTTTAAAAATTGGAAACCCGCTTAGTTCCTTTAGGGATGCTCGGCTGTGCTTTTGCACCTCCACTCTGGATCCTTCCTGTGCTTTCATAATTCAGGCCTTAACCCTTTGCTTCTATCCCACCTGCTGTTCACGTTCCTGGGGATCCTGTTCTGCCCAACCAATGGACAAGCGGGGGGGGGGGGCTCTGAGGCCCAGCCCCACCCCTTTCCCCCCCGACCCCCCCCCCCTGCTGCTGGCCCAGGGACACTCCAGGAACACAGAGCGGAAAGGGGGAGAGCGGTCGAGAGAGAGCAGTGTCTCCCTCCCTCCTCGGCTTCCCTGCCCTGCCGGCTACCAGAGGCTGGGCTTGGAAGCCCAGTGTGGGGCAGCCCATCCCTGTGCTGGGGCTGAGCAGCCACAACGGGGCTTGGCAACCTGCCGCTCAGCAGCAAGGGCAGGGCAGAAGGGCGGGCGGGTGGTCATGGGGAAAGCGCTTCCTCGCAGCCCTTGTGAAGGCCACGTGGGTGGAGATCTCTCCCCTGGGGCCTCCCTCCAGAGCACTGGCTTGCCCTCAGCTTCCAGGCACATCTCGGTTTATTGCACTTTGCTGCAATGAGCTTCACAGATGTTGCATGTTTTGCAAATCAAAGCTTTGTGAGCAAACCTATCAGTGCCATTTGTTCACTCCATGTCTCTGGGTCACAGTCTGATACTTCTTGCAATATTTCCAACATTTTCATTATTATTTCTGTTATGGTGATCTGTCCTCAGTGATCTTTGATGTTACTATTGCAATTGTTTTGGGGTGCCAAGAACTGTGCCCATATAAGACAGTGAACTTAATAATTGCCGTGAACTTGAACAATAATTGTTCTGACTGCTCCACCGACCTGCTCCACCCATCTCTCCCCCCATCTTTCCCCCTCTCCTCAGGCCCCCTATTCCCCAAAAGGCCGAAATTACTGAAATTAGGGTTGAACCTAGGGAAATAACGGCCTCTGAATGTTCGAGTGAAAGGAAGTGGCGCGCATCTCTCACTGTAAATCAGAAGCTAGGCATGATTAAGCTTAGTGAAGAAGGCGAGTCAAAAGCTGAGCTACAACAAAAACAAGGCTTCTTGCTCCTTTTCCGGTCTGAAAAACCTCAGGCCCTTAAAAGCTATACCAGATCTACTCTATAAGTGGACAGCAAGGCTTGGATGAGAGCACATCTGTTCACACCATGGTTTACTGAATAATTCAAGCCTGCTCAGGGAAAGCAAAAACATTCCTTTCAAAATATTGTTGCTCACTGACAATGCACCTGGTTACTCAAGAGCTCTCATGAAGGTGTACAATGGGATTAATGTTTTTACGGCTGCTAACACAACTTCCATTCTCCAGCCCATGGATCAGGAAGTGATATTGACTTTCAAGTCATATATTGACTTCTGTACTGCACCCCAACTGCGCAATCCCATCCTGCAAGAGATTAGGGGGGCTCCCGCACTGGCCTCCTTCAGACGCCAGCTGAGCCTTTTTATTTTACAGATGTTTTGGAGGGTGAATCTGATGGCTTTTGATTTTAAAGGATTGTTTTGAAGGCTTTAGCCATTGCCACCATTGACATTCTGTAATTCTATAATTTTATGGATGTGTATAATTTCTATTATTGGTTAATAGCTTTTGTATTCCACCTTTTCAATATAGCACCTAGTCATTTATTTTACTTATTTAATTTACTTTTAATTACTAATTGTTTATTATTAATTTTATTAATGTATTGTTATTACTGTGTTATTGTATTGTTGATTTTATGGTGGCTCTGACTGTATGTAAGTCACCTAGAGAACCTATGGCTAATCAGGTGAGATATAAATAAAATAAATTATAAATAAATTAAGTAAATTGAACAATGAGGCAAGACCCTCTGCTACGAAAAACATTGTGACTTGCTGAAGGCTCAGATGATGGTTAGCATTTTTAACAATAAAGTATTTTCATTAAAGTATGCACTTTTTTTAGACATAATGCCATTGCACACTTAATACACTACAGTATAGCATAAGAGAACATTGATATGCACTGGGAAGCCAACAGATCTGTGGACTCGCTTTATTGCTACGGCCTGGAACTGAACCCACAATATCTCAGAAGTAAGCCAGGTGCTTACTGAAAAGAGAAGTCCCATACTGCTTTCACTGCTGTTCTCCACCAGCTTTAGGGGCATCTTTAAGCCTCCTGGGGCATGTGCGAGGCTGTTCATTTTGTTGTGGCCCTGGTGGTTCATGTGGTTTCCTGCTCATGCAAAGCACGGCCTTACTCAAATTAAGGTGAGCAAATGGTTCTGTGCCACCAAGGAAGGGGAAACATTGTCAGTAGCCCAAGCAGTAAGGTCTGTCGGAAAGACTTGATCCTGCCTGTTGAGCAATGTGGGGTTTTCTCTTTCCTGTGCTGTGAGGCTATTTCTGTGCTCTACAAAAGGCCAGAGTTTCTCTTCTTCCTTTGCAGTCTAGGAGATGTCTCCACCGCAGACAGATGTAACTCTGACCTAGAAGGCATTCTCAGATGGGCTGACTGGAGTCGTGCGTATCAGGTGAGGGCTGTTCCTTTGGGGGAAGCCAAGGATTGCTGGAGCAATCCTGATTCAAGTAAGGAAGACATTTGAATTATTATCCTGGCAATTTGCACTGGTCAGGCATCCCGGAGTAGCTCAGCTTTCTGCCAGACCTCTTGACAAGCAAGCAAAGGCAGATCAGGTTGGTTGAACCTTCTTTTGCTGGGTTCATGCTTCTCTCTGTTCTTCTGCAGTAGATAGAGAAGCAGAATCTCTCCTAAGATCCTGAACATTCTTTCTGAGATCTTTCAGCAAAACCATGCATTTGCACTTTCTAAGATGTTCCATTTTTAGTTCATTTTGGCACAGAAATCGCTTTTCCTTTACGAAACTAGTTTTCAGACAACATGGGGCCACTTGTTAAACTAATTTTTAATGATTCAAAACTGATTTTAAAATAACACTTCCTAGAAAGCAGGTGTTATAAAACTGCATTTAGTTCCCCAAAATCAATGGCAATCAATGCCCCCTGGGTTAATGAGTTCCAGTGGCTTGTTAGAAGGACCCTTACCTTTCAATGGCCACCCTTTCGATTCATTTTCGAATGCTGTAGGCAGGGCATAGCCTTTCCCTGGTTGTTTAGTAGCAGCAGCAGCAGCAACTTGACTCCTCAAGTCACAGACACATCTGC